CTTTTCCATCAAGCGGGATTGGCCTAGGGGGGGGATTGTATAGGGATTTTAATAGGGATTTTATAACTTTTCTAAAAATAACAGGCTTATTTAATATATATTTTAATTGTTTTTAGATATTTATTGTATAGTTCCGTTTTTATTGCCTGTAAGCCGCCCTGAGTCCTTCGGGAGAAGGGCGGGGTATAAATTAAAGTAAAGAAAGAAAAGAAAGAAAGAAAAAAGGAAAGAGGAAAGGAGTGAATTAGTTTGCCCAAGCCTCAAATAGCAAATTCCCTGAAAGAGGGAAGATTATTGTGTGGGGAAATGCAAGTCATCAGATTACAAAACGGGGCTTTAATCACATGGTTGTGGCTCTTATCTTGACTTTTTGAGCTCCTTCCTACTAGACGTCTCTGCTGTAAAGATCAGCAGGAAAAAAGACAAAACTTCTTAGTACCATAAACTAACATTATCTGTAACAATTAAGTACATATATATGGCCGGGTAAGACTATCTGACTGAACTGATACCTCCTGCCAAGCCATAACTATGGTTTGGGAAATAAATCTGGAATTTCTTAACAGGAATAGACCTAAGCCAAAATTAAAGAAACCACGTGATACTGTTGTGCCATACCAGGCTGCTACTCTAGCAATCAAAGTCTAAGGGATCTGAAGTCTATTAAGTGTTCAATGTAATATTAGTGAGAAGACTTGACGATGGAATTACTCTATGAAGTAATCCAAGTCAGGGAGTACCTAATTTATACCACATTCCTTATTTTTTAAATGGGAAACGTCTTCTCTCCCCAGCTCAATGTGGCTCCCTAGACATAGCTTTAGCCACATGTAGGAAATATTTGCCAGAGTGGCGAGGTCTGAAAATGAGAAAGCAAATGCAGCAAGGTGCTGGGCACAAAAGGTGAAGGGTTGGTGTGGTGACCTGGGAGAGAAGGCGGATGGTCATATGAAGCTAAGGCTTTCCGGGCACGGTAGCAGCCGCAGAGCTGGGGGTACAAAGTAGGGTGCAGGGTAGCCAAAAGGGCAGAGATGGGGGGAGATAGGCAGGTTGGGGGAGCTGAAGGGCCTCTGTGGTCATAAGTGCAAGTGGGCTGCCAAGTGCTTAAATTCTGATCATGAGACATGGAGGTGCTGCAATTGCTGTAGCCTTGGGCACAGACCATAAGTCCAATTTTTAGTGCTGTCATAATTTCAAACAGTCATTTATGAACCAATGGTCATAAATCAAGGATTACCCGTAACCACATTCAGCTTAGATTTTGACTTGGTTCTGCCTAGTTCTTTGTCCTAATCTTGCCCCGTTTGGGAGTGCATCCCTTTGCACATGGACACTCTGAAGTACAGGGTGGCTCTACCCTGGCATTCCAGGTTCATTACTCCTACTTACCCATGTCTGCAATGCTCCATGCTGAAGGGCTCTTATTACCAATGAAAAACACTTCACCAGTTCCTCATGCGTAGCCACATCTTGAGAGGAAAAGTCAAATATTAAATAAAGCAGTAAGCTAAATTAATAAAATTCCTTCACTGGTTCCCTTAAAGACTGAGCATCTCAAAATGTTTTGAGATACAGAATCTAGAAACATACATACTTCTCCATATATTACACCACAGCAGTTCAAGGAAATCAAGATCTCCACGCTGACTAAAAAGTGTTTTCATGGAACCAATGACTGCAGCAGTGTTATCCTGGAGATTCAGCAAAAGGAAAAGTATTTCAAAATGAAACTGGATTTACTACCATTTTAGTTATTTAAATATCACAGTTCACAGAAACTTATAACCACATTATTTACATTAATAAGAAAACTAGAAATAGAATTTGAAATGGTTCAAAGTAACAAAATACATTTAAAATAAGCTATTAAGGTGGCAGGAAATATACACACTTTCGCCATCCACCTGCCAACAAAGGGTGATTGACACTCTTAATATAACTTCTGCCAGCATTCCATTTAAGTTTAGAGGCGTTGAATAACTGAATGGTCACTGCACAAGGCAGTCGCTAAACGACTACTTGTATTAAGCTTGGAAATAGGTTGCCCAAAAGGATGTCTGCTGGTTTTGCCATTCTAGTTGGGGGAAAACTCACTGAAAGCTTCAGTAATGAAACAGTTTGCAGTTTGCATCCAAGGTAAACTATTATGTCAAACTAGAGTTCTATGGGAATATTTTTCCCATTCACTATTTTACCAAATACCTCAGTATCATCGTCATTTTGTGACTTCAGTCCATCTACTTCATCTTTTAAATCTAAAAGAAAAAAAGAAAGCTACATACTATGGCCATCAGCTTTAATGCAATAGAACATACTTTGCTCTCATGCAACAATGGCTGAAAGGAACATTTCCTGAACACATCAATTCGTGATGACATGGCGCACTTGCCTCCATGCCGCGTACTGGCTCACATGTGTGGTTTTCCATATGGGATTAATGTGCTGTGTGAATCCAGCCACTCTAATTTACTCAGCAAACTAAGTGTGCAATGCAAACTCAGCCAAACTCAGTTAAGACTTCAAAGGAATTATTTCCAAAATACTTAGCATTACCTTTCAAAAGTTTCTGTACTAATTCAACAGCAGATTTTCTTCCTGGGGCTTTTGGCCATTTTATTAGCCCATTCTTCAAGATTTCAGCCAAACTCTAACGCCATCAAGAAAAAACAAACAAGTCTAAAGTCATGGCTTGATACAGCAGAGTACAACACACAATGTCATACATGGCTATTTAATACAGGCTGCTGCCTCAGAAGTAGACTGATCCAGTTAAGGGGATTTGCTATTGAGTAGAATATATTACAGATACTTACGTGCACAGATGTACACACACACACACACACACAATAAAAATGCTACAGAAATTACCAAGACATTTAAGTTTTACACATTGAAAGTGTTCGTTTAAAGCATATTTAATGATTCTACCTTGATTCCGCTTCAAAGAGGGCCGTTGAGTAAAACCTTGCAATCATCCTTGCTATTACTCAGCTAAGCATTATTTTCTGACTGGAAAATAATGTTGCAATACTCACCAAAAGAAACTGCAATTCTCTGTTTGGCTCATATACAGAACTCAAGGGGCTCCCAGAAGCTATCTGAACTGTCTGAAATTTTCAAAAATAAAATGATTCATATATATGGGGTGTAGACCTAGAAAAAACAAATGATTTATTTTTATATATACAAGAGCCATGGTGGCACAGTGGTTAGAATGCAGTACTGCAGGCTACTTCTGCTGACTGCCAGCTACCTGCAGTCTGGCAGTTTGATTTTCATCAGCTCAAGGTTGACTCAGTCTTCCACCCTTCTGAGGTTGGTAAAATGAGGACCCAGATTGTTGGGGGCAATATGCTGACTCTGTAAACTGCCTAGAGACGGCTGTAAAGCACTGTGAAGCAGTATATAAATCCAAGTGGGCGCTCCATCACTGGAGATTTTTAAGAAGAGACTGGACATCCACCTGTCTGAGATGATATAGGTTCTCCTGCTCGAGCAGGGGGCTGGACTACAAGACCTCCAAGGTCCCTTCCAGCTCTATTCTATTCTAAAGTGCTATTGCTATATTCATTATTTCTTGAATTGCCTGTTTTGAGTTTAGAATATTTTACACTAAAATGTTTTGCACACTTCCTCCTTTATACTGTTCACAATTAAATGGTTGCTAAGTTAGCAGCAACATTTCAGCATCTGTTGTTATCACAGTATTGAAACTGTTGATTTCCTTACCAGCAGAGCAGCAGATGAGAGGGGAGGTGTTTGCAGCTTCATTTTCACACCCTCCCAAGCAAAATCTGCATATATATTTCTCTCCAATGGAATAAGGGAATCCTCCTGAGTCAAGGAGTCCAGTGAAGTGGATTCAAGAAATCCGTAACGGGCAAAGCCTGTTACTGTCAGCTAAGACACAACATCCAGCACATATTAAACTCAGTTATTATACTATGTAATAAAACATTATATATTAAACTTAGAAAATTTTCAGTTGAGGTTTGTTTTATTTAATCTTTTTTAGTATATATTTGGTTGTGAATAAAAATCAAGATAAACATACATCTGAAGCATGATGTCTCATTCTATGACTTTCTTTCAATTCTTCCAAGCCAAGAGAATAATTATTATTTGACAGGGGACCTAGGGGAAAAATGAATTAAATGAGGGCTATATAATTATCAAAAATTGATAAAAAGCTTTCATTTTTAAAATCTTCTAATATTAATTCTATTATTCCTATTAGCAGCTAAAATGTAGATGAAGAATACTGAGAGAGAGAGAGGGAGAGAATGAGAAGGATATTGAAGGAACGTGAACGGAGAGATATTGGAGGAACCTTTGTGTGTGAATGGGGAGGATATTGGAGGAACGTGTGTGAATGGGGAGATATTGGAAGAATGTTTGTGTGTGAATGTGGAGGAATGTGTGAGACTGGGGAGGATATCGGTGGAACGTGTGTGTGTGTGGTGTGTGTGTGAATGGGGAGAGTATTGGAGGAATGTTTTTTTGTGTGTGTGAATGGGGAGGGTATTGGAGGATTATTTGTGTGTCCTTGTGCAGGACCCGGGAGCACTGTTCCCCTGCCTCCTCCTCTTGCTCTCCAGAGATCTGTCAAGACAGAAGTTGGACTCAGAGGAAACAGTTTCCTGCAAATGTCCTCCACCTCCTGCTTTGCCTGGAGGGGGCATTGAACAGGGAAACACCAACGATGTCTGGGATTGGGAAAAGAACATCTCTTTAGCGTGCTACACATACACACACACACACACACACACAAAAAACATTCCAAGCTGTATCCACATCTGAGCTAGCAAATTGCCAATCGTGCCTGGACTTGGGGAGAAGGCCCTCTCCTTCCTCTGTGGATAAAAGTCCCCAAACCTGGAATGTGGTGTGTGTGTGTGTGTGTGTGTGTGTGTGTATGTGCACACGCGCGCATGTGCTTGGCTGCTAGTAGTCTGGGGAGGTGAGGAGTTTGTGGGGCACCGAGTTGTCCCCACATCGAGTTACCCAGTGCGACTTGTTCCATTCCGACCCAGCTGTCTTGAGTCAGCTGTGAGTGGCATCGAGCAGGCCATGCCCACCTGCTAGGCGACTGGCGGTACTCGAATATTGCCATATCTTAAAAGTGGTACAATCTCTGAAAAGGTTGAAAAGCCCTGCTCTAAATAACCAATCCTGGTACATACTGTTTTAGCCCACAACTTCAAAAATGACACTTTGTCTGAATCAATTCGCTAAAACAGGTTTCATTTTAGAATAGTATACCCTAGATTCTGATTTTTTAAAGAAACATTAGTGGATTTTTCCATTTCTTCTACTCATTGCCGATGGAACTTCCCACCACAGGCCACTGCAATCCCAAAGTGCTTTTTCAAAAGGCAACTGGACTGTTTTTCCTTGAATATGTTTCACTCCTCATCCCAGAAGCTTCTTCAGTCTCCTTTCTTCTTGTCTTCAAGGGAAAACAAAGCCCAGTCGCCTTTTGAAAAAGCACCTTTCGGACTACCATGACCTGGATGACTGAGAATCTCCACAGACACTTACCGTTGCAAGTAACAGTGTGAAGCCTGATTCCCGAAAGGTTATTTCCATTCCTCAAAGATTCTGCTCCAAGCCAAATAGTCTGTTTTGGGTCAGAAGGTTCACATCGTATCCAGAGCGGAGGAAGTTGTGCTGCCTTGTTTATTTGTAAATGTTTCATGTTTGGATTTTGAGACATTGTGTAGAAAGAAATCAACTGCCTATCAATGGCGAAAAGACATTATATCAGAAATGGAAGATTACTAATTACAAAGTATTTGCTGCATTTTTTTAACCTTCACTTTTTTGTATCCCAAAACAGCTTACAGAAAGGTAGTGCTAATTCCCTTAGTATGTGAATGCTTATTATACACACACAAACAAAAGGAATCTTATCATTATCCCTCTTTGAGGAATTATAAGTACACAATTCTACTCACTTGAATATTAAAAGTTGATACCATTTTGTTGAAACTAATATACATTGAATTATAACTGATCTGATAAGCAGTAAAATTAGCTTTTGCTTTAGGAAGAATATATATTCTAAAGCAGACATGTCAAACACAAGGCCCGCGGGCTGGATCCGGCCTGATATGTGGTTCCGTTCGGCCCGGGGACCTGCACTGGAAACAGGTCCACTGCACCTCGGCCCAGCCCAGGCCAACCGGGCACTGATCTACAACCTGGTTGCATCCATCAAAGCCAGAATGCACTTAGCCTTAGATCTACGGGGCAGCTTTGCTCTGGTTTTTGGGCGCGCGCGCAAGCGGAGTGCAACATCTCTGCTGTCTGTCTTGCCCTGCAGGCTGACTCCACCCAGGACGCCAGCACTGGTTGTCTCCCATCCCAGCCACGCCCCCCCGTAGGCAACCACAATGCTGATGTGGCCCTCAATGAAATTGAGTTTGACGCCCCTGTTCTAAAGGATAAAGATTAAAATAATCACATAAGCATGAATACCTTGCTCTTGAAAGGGCCAGAGGAGATGCTGATAAATTCTCTTTTGGGAAACCCTCAGAAACTGAAGGCTCATCATTCTGCCATTCTTCCAGTCTGCTGGTTTCTTCATATGGTCTCTGCAAAAAAAACACAAAAAAAGCAGCTGTGCTAGAAAATTTGCTAAGTTCCAGAAAAGTGGAACATATCCAAATAGTAGTAGTAACTTACCATTTTCTCTACAATAAAAAACCCTCCATTTTGGTCCCAAAGCTTTTCTAAGGGATTTGTATGGCCTTCATCGATCAAATGGACTCGCAGGTCAGTCTGGTAAAAGAAACAAGTTGTTTCCATAGTATTTTTCTCAATCTAAATTTAAAAATAATTTGACTTACAGAACCATACATTTATGCACTGAAAGTATGGAAGGCATATGTATAGCAATTTGCATATCCTTTCCTTTGCAGCATAATCTTACTTCAAAGTAGCAGACATCAGAATTTCAGACCTGATTTTCCAGTAACTTTCTATGGTCTGGGATCCCCTTAAGTGATGACACAGGATAAAGACAGTGTGAAGAATGAAGATACTTTTCCACAAAATTATATTAAGAGTTTTAATGTTGATACATGCATAACTTTGCAATCGTGCTTTATAGCAGACTCCAGGACTTATGAATAGTCCTTCTCTAGCAAAATAAAATGTATTTAAAGAAAACAACCATAAAGCTATATAAAAATAATACAAACAAGCTATAACGAGAAAATAAATCTATATTTCCTTTCATAGAATTTATTCAAATTGTATCAACAGTCCAAATTTGCATTTGAATTATACAACATATCTGTCAAAAATGATTTGTCATTTTTATTATTTATTATACTTATATCCTATCTTTCCCTCTGTAGTACATACATAACACTATCTCTCCAAATTTATCCTTACAACAAGGAATATTTCTCAGACTTAAAAAATAAAAATAAATTAAACTTCATTCAGCATTATCTATTTTTCTCCTCCTAGAATCTATATTTAATGTTAAACTTTTTTAAAGTTTAGCATTTCTAAATTTTACTATGTTTAACTGCACACTCCATTTCGTCTAAACTAATACTACATTTGAAACAGTTAATAAACATACCTCAAAAATAGAAGGACCGGTTCTATTATTCTGCTTTCCTTCCTTATATACTCTGAAATATAAATAGCGATTTACTTATTTTTTCTGAATGCTGAAAACAGATCTGAAGAGCAAAATGAAATTAATCCTGGTAGAATTGTCAGAATGTAAACATTGCTAAAGTGCTGTTTGCCATTAGATGTGCCTATATTTTAAAGTCAATCTACCATGAAGCAGCATAGAACAAAATAAAAAAATGTCATCCATCTCCTTCCTGCTTATTATAAGTACAGAGGAAAACACAAGACAACCCTACACCAGTGCCCCCCCCCCAACCTTTTGGGTACCAGGGACCAGTTCCATGGAGAGAGGTTTTTCCATGGACTGGAAGGGTTGGTTAATGCTGCCTACACCCCATGGATGGGGCTTTGCTTGTTTGCACGGCCCAGTTTCTGGCATGCTATGGCCTGGTGCCGGTCCATGGACGATTCCTGCCCTACACCATTCTCTTGACTAAATTCCAAAGTATTTGATAACTATAAGCAAAATGGCAACTACATGCACACAGAAAAAGAAAAGAGCTACCCATAACAGACTCTGAATAGTCCTCATTTAGCAACCATGCTGGGACCAGCAACAAATGAAACCACAACTGTGCTTATGATTTTACTTCAGGTTTCCTTTGCTTTACAGACTTGTTAATGTGAGGATTGGTTGAAAAGTTACTTTTTCATCACAGTTGTAACTGTGGTCACTAAACAAGACAGTCAAAATAGAAGTCTGAACCATAACTTTATTTAGAAAGTCCTGGCAGCATACATACATACATACATACTTCCTTTCTTTCCCTCTTTCTTATGCTGCCCATCTTCCCTTTAACGTGCCTGGCAGTTTTAATGTTAAAAGATTCACAAGGATCAAAGTCAATTCAAAGGTAGCAGCTCATTCTGTCCAAAGAATAGAGTGTTTGAGGTTGTTTTTTTTTTGGGGGGGGGGGCACTGAGTCAGGGCTGACTCCTGGTGACTGTCTAGATTAATCCCTGCAGTTTTCTTAGGAAGAGTTTGGAAATGGCTTCCTTCTGCTTTCTTCCTAGGGTTGAGAGAGAGTAACTGGCCCAAGATCACCAGCTAGCTTTGCCCGTTACTTTTTTCTTTATAAAACTTCCCAATCTAGCCTACTGTCCTAGGGTTTCTTGGGAATGCCCCATCCAAGTATTAGCCGACTAACCCCACTTTTTTATAAAACAAAGATCAACTAATTTTTCATTCATTCAAACTTTTGGCCTGTGTGTGTATTTTCTTTAATTGGTTACACCTTTTTTTAACAGTTCCAAGATTAGAGGAGGATGACGGGCCCACTTACTGCAGGAGGAAGCTGTGGAAGCGGAGAATCTCCTCCTGCTGCTGCCGGGAAGCCATCCGAGCTTCGCCGCCTCAGAGACGGTCAGCCATTCAGGAGCCGCACGCATGCGCAGTCGCTTCTAGTAGCTCGAACTTGCCCGCCAGAATTACTTTCCATCACCAATGGATCTCCCCCGAGGAATCCCTCCGCCGAAGAGAGACGCCTGTCGGAACCTTCCTCTCTTCCAACAAGAAGATCCCGACATCTCCTGAGGCAACTTTAAACGGAGAATGCGGCTGGAAAAGATTTTATTTCTTCACCTTCGCCGGACGAGGACATCAGAACGGAAAGGGAAGAAGACGTGGGCGAGCTGCCGGCTGAGGCGAGCTTACCCGGCTCAAGGGGGCGGGACCGTGCGCGCAAGCGTCAAAAGTCTAGAGCTGCGAGGCACCCTTCCTTTTCCGGTCGGGGCTGAGGCGGGGACGGGCGCCGCGCGAGGGGCTCCTCAGCGGTCTTGAAGGTGCCCATCATGGTGAGGAGAGTAGCGGTTCGGGTGGCGGAAGCCGCGGGAGGCGGCGCGGGCGGGAGGGAGGGAACGCCTCGGCTGACAAGCGGGACCGAAGGGGCGCCTACTGGGGAACGCGGGGAGAGAGGGCCAGACAGGAGATCGTCCGGGCAGGCGCCATCTTGGAGTAATGGAGGAGTCGCTGCCGCGTGGAGGCCCAGCGAGCCAAGGCGGAGGCCCGGCCCTCACCTCGCAGGAATCCTCTTCGCCCGCTTTTAGGTCGGAGGGGAAAGACGGTTGGTCTCCCATGGAGAGTAGTTAGCGACTGCTGTACTAGCAACAATAATGGAACTGGAGTCTATGGGTCCCATGAAGGAAACCAGCAAATCGGAGTGATAACTCTTTTCAGCTGCTCAAGGAGCATTGACTTAATGTTAGATGACTCCCCCTCCATCAAATTGTTAAACTCAACGAAATCTCCCTTAAGTTATATCTCAAATCTAGCATTAAGGCCAAAAATTAGCCACATGCCTTCGTTTCAGTTCTTCGTAGTTGCAAGATGAGTGTGGGTTTGTGGTACCTTATGTGACTGCATAAGTATTGCTATGATCTAAACTATTACTGAGGTTTAATAATGGAGTGCACAGACCCCATTAAAATCTGAATAGTAATAAATAATAGGAACATTATTCCAGGAAATGATTGTAAATGGCTGAAATTCAAGTATGGCCATGAATTTGTGAAGCATATCAGCAAAGTACAAGCTGCATGGCTTGCCCAAGAATTGGGGAGGAATGTTTACTTGTGACAGAAATGAGGTTCAATACAGCAGTTCTTCCATTATTATCTTCATTTTTCGACTGTTCAATGTTGGATGACACCCCCCCCCCAAATCCAAGTGCTGAGCTAAATCAAATTTTCATGCTGAGAGGCGGTATAATTCATATTTAACATTAAAGCCAAAATGCACTCATTTCAATATGTTGTTGTATTCTGGGTACAGGCATGCAGAATCCAATGCATTGAACACATGTATTGCTATGATGTTGTAATTTGCGTCCTATCTGGTATTCAGAGACAGTTGCCTGCTGTCCATAAACTGTTGCCATTGAACTGAGGACTCTTCAAAACTGAGCGATAGTTCTATATTATTGAGCATCAGCAGAATAAGTTGAATTGCATGTCTAATGCTCCTTTTCACTCTCCAGGCTTGTACTCGACCATTAGTATCGGTGTACTCCGAAAAGGGAGAGGTATCGGGTAAAAATGTCACCATGCCTGCTGTTTTCAAGGCACCGATTCGCCCAGATATTGTGAATTTTGTTCACACTAATTTGAGGAAGAACAGCAGGCAGCCGTATGCTGTCAGTGAACTTGCAGGTAAGTTGCAGAAGAGTTGTGTTTTGTAAAGTTTGAAAGGCGGACATTCAGTGCTTTTCAATATTAAAATTGATGATACTTCTCACATCCCAAACAATGATGATAATACTCGGTTTGAAATATGCAGTAATCCACTAAGAAACATAATACTTTCTTCAGATGTTACATTAAAAAAAAAACCAAACATCTGGTGGTGTTGATTTAGTTTGGGATTTAAGATCATCCAAAGACACTGTTTGAAAATGAGATTCTGCAACAGAAAGCATTTTAGTATTCACAGAATGATGAAATTTTACTCCTGGATTGGATTTCCCATATTTCAATACCACTGCAATCATACGTCTTTAGATTATACACAAAATTGCAAAAAATTAAAAATCAGTTATAACCACTTTCAGAAAATCAATAAGCTTTAGAATAGCTCATTATGTATTCATTACGAAACAAGAAAATGTTTGCTTCCAGAAGCCTGTTGAAAAAAGTTTGCCTTTACTAGATGTTCTGATGTTGGTGCTTAAATCTTCAGGAAAATTACCTAAAATCTATAATCAGTGTGGTTGAATATGTGTGTGTGTATGTGTATATATATATATATTTTCTTTTCTTTTCCTCAGGGCACCAGACCAGTGCTGAATCCTGGGGTACTGGAAGGGCAGTTGCTCGTATTCCAAGGGTTCGTGGAGGTGGAACTCATCGATCTGGTCAGGGTGCTTTTGGCAATGTATCCTTCATTAGACAAATTACTTGATATGCGTAGCAACTATGTAATGTAGATGGCTTTTGAACTTCAGTATTATGATTTAAAATATTTGTGTTTTGTTTGATGGGCAATTCACTTAAAGCCCTTGTAGCATAGAAAACCTAACACCAATTGCTTGCCTTGTTTTGGTTACAGGAAGAGAGGTCCTTTACTTGCAATGATGTTGTAATTTGCGCCTTACTCTGTATTCAGTGACAGTTGCCTACTGTCATCATGCTAGTACAGATGATTGATGATCCTTTAACTCTGAGCAAGGTGGAAGAGGGACTTCCTGCAATAAAGAGACAGTTCCATCCTTAACGCCTGATACATAGATGTGTCGTGGTGGTCGCATGTTTGCCCCAACCAAAACTTGGCGACGCTGGCACCGCAGAGTGAACATCACTCAGAAGCGTTATGCCATCTGCTCTGCTCTGGCAGCTTCTGCCCTTCCAGCTCTAGTCATGTCTAAAGGCAAGTGTCTTCCTGCAATGGCATTGGTATAAACAGTAAATATAACTGAACTGGGCCTATAAAATAATATCTAGGAAAGGTATCAAATATTTCACTTATTGCATTTGTATAAATGTTCTAACCAGAATAAATTCACAACAGGTAAAACCATAAAACGTAAAATAATACTGCAACACAGTAATGATATGCTGCAATTATAAAATCAAAAAGTAATTTAAAAGTAAACACAACAAGCACAGATATAAACTCCAGTATAATAACACTACAAAAATGCTTCAGGAGCCAAATAAACCTTTGGGGAGAAGTTATTTGACAAGGCTGTGAGCATCATAAAAATAGAGCTTGCTTCCATGCCTTTATCCCTTTCAACTAGAATAGAGGTGGGAATGATATAAAGCATGCTCAGCCAGGATGAGCGCATTAAATAGGTTACTTCAACAGTGAGGTCATCATCCTGGAGACAACTAGATCACTCCATTAAGTCTTTAGATGTACCCAGAAACAATGGAATGCCTTCCGTGCAAGTGCCCACCACCATCCAGGCCCTCTGTTTTGTGTCACAGTTTCTGAGAAATCTCTGAATATTATGTGTAGAGAAAAGTCGGGGTAGCAGGTTTTGGGCTTTGCTTGCCAACTCTAAATTTTCAGTGACACTTTTGCTATCTTAGGTCACCGCATTGAAGAGATTCCAGAACTTCCTCTGGTAGTTGAAGACAAAGTTGAAGGCTACAAAAAAACCAAGGAAGCTGTTCTCCTACTTAAGAAGCTGAAAGCTTGGAATGATATCAAAAAGGTGGGTTGGTCATCAATTACAAAGCAGAAGCGTTGCTGAGTGATGGACAGAGTGATTGTTTTATTTGGTTTGAATATCTCTGCTGGCCAGTTCATGACTAGAATTCACTAGCTTCAGAGAGCTAAGTGTGTGTGTGTGATTAACTTGAAGAGAGAAAAAAAAACTGAGCATACATAATCATCGTTGCCTTTGCATATGATGAATTTTTCACTGGTCCGTGTTTCAGATAAACGTTGACGATGGTGAAATTCTGAATTTCTGGGTACCAAATCTCTGTGTCCTTTAATAGTGAAGTAGTGAATATGGATTTTTACATACCTGTTTCTGTCTAGGTCTATGCCTCTCAGCGCATGCGGGCAGGCAAAGGTAAAATGAGGAACCGCCGTCGTATCCAGCGCAAAGGACCTTGCATCATCTATAACGAAGACAACGGCGTCATAAAAGCATTCAGGAATATCCCAGGTACTCCTTCAGTTACCTTCCAGGATTCACAACAGGTTGTAGGCTGGAGGAGAGCCCTGAATGATGATATTCCACTTCATTGGTCCGTGTTTCTGAAAACACATGATTTGGTGGAAGTTCTGACTTGTATTAGATGGTGGATTTCCTTTGAGATGCATTTACTTTCTAAATTTCATGAATTGAATTTAAGAAAATGACTTTTTCCTTGTATGTTTTACATGAAAGGGAAAATTCTCTCTGCTAATAGGAATTACTCTTCTCAATGTGAACAAGCTGAACCTCTTGAGACTTGCTCCTGGTGGCCACGTTGGACGTTTCTGCATTTGGACTGAAAGTGCCTTCCGCAAGTTGGATGACTTATATGGCACTTGGCGCAAGCCTGCCACCCTGAAAAGTAGCTACAAGTAAGTCTGCTTTAGCCTCATTTCTAGCTTTGCAAACTGGAGTATTGAAAGTCCTCACAGATCGCTCAAGGGGCTTTTGAATGGGGATGACTCCAGTCATTGTTCACTTTTGCTGTTCCTTTCACAGTGCTGAAATCAGCATCTTGAAAGGAACTGAACAGTATCCTGTTCCTTAATTGGGAGGACTTTTTTTGCATCTGGGGATCAGAAATGACATTTTAGCTTGTGGATCTACATACCAGCACATGAACAGATTCTTGCCAGAAGAGCTATATAGGAATAGCACTTAGACTTATATATACCACACCGCTTTACAGCGCTCTGAATAGTTTACAATGTCTTGAAGAGAACAATGCATTAATCATATCTTTGTTGTAATCTGTCTTTCAATACAGTCTGCCAATGCACAAGATGACCAATACTGATCTTGGAAGGATCCTAAAAAGCCAGGAGATCCAGAAAGCCCTACGTCCACCCAAGTATGTATCAAGCATACACTTTCATTGTCCTCCTCTGGTGGGTAAAAGTGTGGGTGTATTCCTATGAACATGGACTTGTACTTTTCTGCATGCTACTTCTCCCCAGCATTAGTCTTCATGCACACTGAGTTGTGCTCATAATTCTGTGTCTCCATTTGTTTTGCAGGAAGAAGATTCATCGTAGAGTCCTTAAGAAGAATCCACTGAAGAATTTGAGAATCATGATTAAATTGAACCCATATGCCAAAACTATGAGACGTAACACTATTCTGCGCCATGCTAAAAATGTGAGTGGCTTGACATTTCTGAAATGTTATTTCACAGCATCTTTTTTAAAGGAATAGAAATGACTAAACTATTTTCTGTTCTGTGATAGCACAAACTCAGAGAGGAGAAGGCAGCGAAAGGGAAAGCAAAGATCCAAGTGGCAGGTGCTGCAAAGAGTGAAAGTACAGCATAAAAAGAGCTTCTGCACTTTTATGATACAATGCTCAAAAGGTCTCAATTTACCCTTAATAAAAAAATATATCCAAAGTGGTCTCAATCATTTCATTCTTTATTTGCAAAGCGTGGCATCTATAACTCAGTGCAAGATAATTAGAAATAGAGCAGCATGACTAAGCTAAAGGATGTTCTTTGCCCAATCATACTACCCGATTGACCGACAGCATAAAAATATAGCAGATGTTGCAGAAATGGCAGAAGGAGAAAACGGGATTTTGTCAAAGCTGGAATCTTTCCATCACAGCCACAGAACAGGAATGAAATGTCAAGATCGCGGAAAAAATGTGGGAAGGACCTTTTGCTTCTTGGCTTTTTATCTCTATGCAAAGAGAAAATCTCTTCATCAGAAATAGAAATTGATAGCAAAAGCAGATATGCTATTTGTGTATATATTAAATGTGCTATTAACAATGTACTTTTGGGAAATGCTTCCTCTTGCTCAGGGACCTTCCAGCTATAACAACGCTGATGTAAATAAACATGAAAGAATAACAAATCAAGCTCAGAGAGTGTCAAGGACTCCTCATTTTCATCCCTGAACTCCAAATATTTTGCTTAGTAATTTGAAGGTCTATAATGCAGGAATTTTTCTTTGTATCAGATTTAATACAATCCTTGCATGTACAGTATGTTCCTTATATCAAAAATTTGCTGAACGGAATACAGGAAGATCGGGCCTTTAAATGTCAATATAGCAGATACTGCAGTGTTTAATTGTGGGGTAACTTCTAAGGACTGGCTTGTATCCTTAGCCAAAGCAAAATTATCTGGTGTAAATCTTTGCACTCCTGAACTCTACTGGGCCAGAGTTCTAGGTTGTAATCCTGAATTAGACCAGGGAACACAGAAATAATGTGAGGGATGGTGCTACACAAATATTGGAAGTATAGGCAAGGATTTTATATTACATTTTTAAGCTACCTATCTACGTGATTACTCTGGTACTAACAAGCCTTCCAAGAAAACCAACCAGCGTTTCTTCCACGTCGCCTCAAGTAAAAGGACAATGGGGTGAAGAATAGTGGGCAGAAAGGAAGGGGGCTTCGTTCCCTTCCATTGCTGGCCCCTCGCCTAAGCAGTTGCCTGTCCGCTCCTGCCATTGGTGCTGGCTTTTGGTCCCTTCCCATTGTGGGGGGAGCAGTGAGATCTGAAGACCGCTGGGGCCTCCTTTGAGACCAAGCACGTGTCGCTTCCTTTCTCTTCCGCCCTGGAGCAAGATGGCGGCCCCCGCTTCGCTTGTCTCTTCTCACTCCGGCCGGCAAGAGGGCCGTCGCCGGGTACGTCATCACTATGCGCGCGCCCCCGAGGCGGGGAGGGGAGCAGGATGCTGAGCCGCCTGCAGGAGCTCCGCAAGGAGGAAGAGACGTTGCTGCGGGTCAAGGAGGCGCTGCACGACCAGCTCACCCGCCTCAAGGTGCGGAGCGGGCGGGGCCAGCCGCGGGGGTGGGTAGCCCGGTCTCCGCGCACTTGTGGACGCCCACACGTGTGTCGCATCCCGCCGGGGCGGCATGTAGCGCTGTCATCCCAAAGGCACAGCCTCTGGGCGAGGGGAGGAAGGGGGTCCGCCTTCTCCTAGCGGTCAGGGAGCCCCCAAAGCCCCCATCATCATCTCTAGGCCTGTAAGACTCAAGACACGGGATAATGGGTATGATAGTCCAACAGATTTGGAAGACGAAGCGCAGAGGCCAGCGGGGCTTTTGCACCCATAAAAAGGGGGATTACAGGCAGGATTGCAACTCAGTTTCCCCCAAAGATTCTTCTGTATGGCTTGCCTTCTTCCCCCCATCGTTGTTGTCTGGGGATGATGGGCATTGTAATCCAAAGCTATAGGGAATGGATTCAGGGGTAACAAAGCCCCTGTTCCTTGCACCAATGCTTTGTGTAGACCAGTGTTTCTCAAGTTATAGTCCCATGGGGATCCTTGAAATCAAAATTATTTGCTAGCCTATGTTGAAAAATAATGCAATATGAAACACTCTTGACAAGCGGCAGTGAATGCATCAATTTAAAATTTTAATGTGGTAAATATTGATAAATATAACATGCAAACAAAAGCTCTTTTGTGGTTCTCCATAATTTTTAAAAATGGGGAGGGGTCCTGGGAGACAAATGCTTAAGACAGGTTGTTCTGTCCAAGCTGCCCCCTCAACTTCTCACCTGCTTTGTGTTTACAGGATGGATCCTTGTTCAGTGTGTGTTTGGCTTTGTGTTGTGCTATTGGTATGCTATCATTTCAATTGAGGAAGTGGCTACACATCTCAAATATACGATTCTGGGCAGGAGGGAATTGTTATTTTTAACCCATTTAAGGTTCAAGAGGAATTCATTCTGGAGGAATAAAAACCAAAAATGCATCAAACCATAATGATAAAGATTAAAATGCCTTGAAAAGGAGGAAAGGCTTGGTCTAGCTTGTAGGGAGACATGATCGGGGCTCCAGGCAGATTGTCCCAAGGAAGACCATTTCAAAAAGGGGAGCCATAACCACAGAAGCTCATCTGCCTCTTTCAATTCTTATCTCCAGGTAAAAGGAAAAAAATCTATAAAAACAAATAATACATAAAGCACTTGTACTGCCTGGAGTAAAATAATCTAATAATGACCCAAACACCGAAAAACAGGTTCCCTCTCTAATACAGCCATACATTATTATTATAAGAGGAGGTCCTGGCCTTACCTCTGGGGAGATGCTCTTCCAGAGGCTGGGAGCTGCACCAGAGAAGATTCTCCTGGATGCTACTGCCTGTTTGGATAAATCTAGCACTGGGTGGATGAAGATGCAGGCTGAAATCCAAAGTCTTAAACAACATAAGCAAATCTGACGTCGGAAGCCTAACCCATCCGAGCCCAACTTCAGATACCCGTTTGCCCTCGTAGCCCTCCTTGTCAGGAGCAATACAGGTAGTCCTCAACTTACAATTATTCATTTAGTGACTATTTGAAGTTACAACAACACTGAGAAAAGTGACTTATTATTGCAGCATCCCCCTGGTCATGTGATCAAAATTCAAGTTGTTTGGCAACTGGCCTGCGTTTATGATGATTGCAGTGTCCTGGGATCATTTGATCACAAAGTCAAAGAGGAAGCCAGATTCACTTAACAACCATGTTACAAACTTAACAACTGAAGGCAGGACTAGAAGCAACGGATGGAAACTAATCAAGGAGAGAAGCAACCTAGAACTAAGGAGAAATTTCCTGACAGTTAGAACAATTAACCAGTGGAACCACCTGCCTCCAGAAGCGGTGAATGCTCCAACACTGGAAGTTTTTAAGAAGAGACTGGACAGCCATTTGTCCGAAATGGTATAGGGATTCCTGCCTGAACAGGGGGTTGGACTAGATGACCTCCAAGGTCCCTTCCAGCTTTATTATTATTATAATACTGCATCAATTCACCTAACTGTGGCAAGAAAGGTCATAAAATGGGGTAAAACTTAACATCAGTCTCGTTTGACTACAAAAATTGTGGGTTCCGTTGTGGTCACAAGTCAAGGACTATCGATATACCTCTCTGCGTCAGGTGCCTGGGACCGAGCTGTGGAAAAGAACCGTTTCCAATCCTTTGGGGAGGTTTTCTGAGGAAGACTCCTCTGTTGGAAAGAGGATTTGGTCGACTTCATAAAGGATCTCTTGTAAGACTTAGCCTTAAAGGACCTCAGATTTTCTATCTAGTCCAGTGTTTCTCAACCTTATAAACCTTTTAAATGCGGGACTTTTGTCAGATGCATGGTGTGGCTAAACTGATACAGAAAACGGGAGGAGGCAAATTATATTAATCTGAAAAGGTACATCTGAATTTTGGTTACCATAGATTAATATAGCTCTCCGCATATAGTAGCTTGAGACTTACACCTGCTCTCTCCCTGCGGCACTCAGAGCCATAAAAGGGCTTAACCAGCCATCCTCCCAGCCTTGTGTTTGCCATGTTTATTTGAATACCACATGAGCTTGAGAGTGCTCGGCCAGCTGTTGGCAAAGTGCTAAGACCATGGTATGAATGAGAAAGCAAGACCCAGCTGTATGCACAAAGGCTGGTATTATAAATAGACATCCAGGAATGTGTTTTCCGGAGGGGATTAGCATTTAAGTCTGGTGTTCAGCTCCACTTCCTCTTCTGCAGATCTGCTTACAATTGTTTGGATACCTAGAAACAGAGCTTAAAAGGGTTTCCAATCCTCGTGATGTGGCAGTCTTTGCACTGGGGGCAGTGCATGTTTCTCATTCATTCTGTGGGGTCACCCTGAGGCTTGATATTCCATCAAAACAGGGTAGTTCTACCACAGAATATCAGGTGGTTTTTTTGTAATTTCTAAAAACGCTTCCCATAACTACAGTCTAAATTGCAGGCTTCACTTGACCAGATTTGACTTTAAATTGATCACATTCAACTCATTTCCCAGGGTTGTTGCTGGGATAAAATTAGAGGGAGGCCCACACATGTCCCCTTCAATTCTAAGAACTGGTAAGATATAAAAGACAAATGTATTTGCTTGGTTTCTCCTTCTGAAATCAGAAGTCTAGACAGCTTTATTAAAGAAATACAGGTAGTCCTTATCTTATAACCATTTGTTTAGCAGTCATTTGACAACGGCACTAAAAAAAGTGAATTACAACCAGTCCTTGCACTTATAACCATTGCAACATCCTCACAGTCCTGCGATCAAAATTCGGGGCTTGGCAACTGGCTGTTATGGTTCCGACAGATGAAACCCTTCAAAAGAAGTTCGAGGCATTGTTTTCCTTAAAGAATCTTTTATTCGGGAAACAAAGTATCGGCACTACATAGTTGAACCCAAAAACTTAATTCCCCTCCCCTGGATACAAAGTAACAAAGTACAATTCCCACCCCCAATAAACAGTCATAAAGCACATTCCCCAATTAGCTTGAAGCGCAGGCTTTCTCCACCGCTCTCCAGCCTGCCAAAACGTTATCAGCTCTGGACCCAGTTTGTCCTTGAGTTCCCACAGCAGAGTTGTTATTATTTTGACTAACTAACTCTCATCCCAATACCCCCTCCCTGCACCAACTAATTCTAAAAGCATAAGGAAAATGGCTGCATTTTCATCTGTTGTCAAAGCAAGAACATCCGATGTTAGCAGCGTTGACACTGGCATGTATTTATTGATGGTTGCAGTGTCCCAGGGTCGTGATTGCCATTTGTGACCTTCTCAGCTGGCTTCTGACAAGCATGGTCAATGGGGGAAGCTGGATTCACTTCACAACTGTGTGATTCACTAACAATTGCAGCAATTTCCTAAATGTAGCAAAAAGGTTGTCAAAGTGGGTGCTTAAGAACCACCTTGCTCAGCAGTGGAGATTCTGGTCTCGGTTATCATCATAAATTGAGGACTGCCTGTATTGCAAGAGAGGAATTGCCATTTTCCCTCCTTGGAGATCATTTGCACTTAGCACTAGGATCCACAGCCCTTGGCTTGCCAAATTACATTTTCACACTCTAAGCTACAAGATTTTGCTAAAGAAGAATTGATGATTCCAAGGACGTTGCTTAACACTTCTTTTAAGACCGACCATTACTTTCTATTTCCAGGTGGAAGAGTTGGCTCTTCGGTCCATGATCAATACCCGGGAAGGGACTGTGTTCACTCCCTCAGCTGCTGTGATGGAGGAGCACGCAAACGTAAGGCCCTTTCCCTCCATTGAAGCAGCTCTCCTGTTTAGAGTCCTCAAAGGCCAGGTCCTCTTCACAAGGAGAGAGAAAAAGCTTCTTTGCAGCTCTGAGCTAATGATCTAAAACCACCCTGTTTGTAACTGGTCCCTCGTTTACCAGAATGCAGACTGAGGGAGATTCTCTCCACTGTTTCTGTCCAAGCAGGGGAACAACATTTCCAAGCAAAGTCAGGTTTCTGCAACTCCCTTTGTTTTAAAAACACTCACGGAAGATGTCCCAAAGATGCTTTTTTCTAAAGGCAGCTGGACTTTCTTGTTTTTCCTTAAGGACATTTCATCTCTCATCCAACTGGGCTTTCTTTCTGACAGTCGTTGAGGCCACTTGGAGGTTTATCTGTGCCCCCAGGGTCACCTGAATAGTGCAAATGGACACCCTCTTGGAACTGCTGACAGGACGGTGCTGTAAACAAGAGACGGGTGGTGCGTGGTGTTGTATCTCTCCCCCTCTGTTGAGGGCTATTCAGTCTTAATGTCGACAGCCTCTTTGATCCCTCTTTCAAACTTCGAAAGAGGGCTAATGACCAGATGACTGCAAGGAATATGAATCCTTCCGTTCTCCACCATTCAGTCAGAACTAAAGAAGCTTCTTGGATAAGAAGCCAAACTTCCTCAAGGAAAAACAAAGAAAGTCCAGTTGCCTTTAAAAAAAAAACATCTTTGGGACAACCATGACATGGATGACATAAACACTCATGGAAGATATGCTGGACAGAGGCATGACAGCAATGATTTACAAACACCCTGTCATTGTTGAATGGGGAGGAAAATGCATCAATCGCATAGGCAAGAGAAGGAGGGCTTTAGAAACATTTTCCTGGCAGATTCTTACATTTTAGCACAGGAATCTTTAAATCGGGGTGCATGTGATTCATTGGGATTCAGGATGACAATATTAGAATATTTCACCCTTTCTACATTTTGTTTGGGGATGAGCATGTTTTATAATATAGGTAACATCTTGGTGTGCTAATACATGAATGGATTTATAACATATATATGGGAGGGTGGACGGTTTTACGATGGTTTTGCTGAAAACCAGCAGTTTCTTTCCCTTTTGGATAAAACTGTGCCTTAACGAACACTGGATTCATTTGAAGATCATAGCACTCATTTTACGACCACATTTAATGATAGCTATAACAAAAGGTCATAAAATCAGGTCACCTGACCAACCTATTTTACAACTATGGCAACATACAACTGTAGTGGGTAGGCTCCATTATGGTTATAGGTCAAGGGCTACCCCTACACACCCACAAAGCTCAACATTTGCTCACCTGCTGCAAATGGCATTCGGGATGTTTCCATACACCCCCCCCCACCCCAAGGAGGAGATCTCCTGACTTATATTTTTCAGCAGGAAGTGACCAGTTTCTTCTTTCTTTGGACAGATGGACAATGAAATGGCCATCAACCAGACTAAACTGCAGCTACAAGTGCATGCTGATGATGAGGAAGAGGAGGAGGAAGAGGAGGATTCCTAATGGGCAAATGTTGCTGTCAGGCCAGTGTTCTGTGACAGACTCCCAAGCCTCCCTAACTTCGACGAAACTTTGTGTGGTTCTACAGAGACTAAACTACAATCAGAAGTGCCGCTGAGCATCTCACAAACTTCCAAAGGTGGTAATAAATTATGGGGTGGGTTGGAAAAAGATAGTATTAAAGCCTAACTATGTAGCACAAGTCATTTTACAGAGCAGACATATGTTTCAGAACAAGTAGCAATTCAGGAAATGCAGCTTTTGAAGCAATAATCTGTCCATGAAACATCTTCTGCCTGGTTATAAAAAGCTGGAAAGTTGCCCTTATTCTGTGCCAGTTGGTTTTCCTGAACCTCCTATGGATAAATCGCACAAAAGTGGTGAAAAATGTGGGGTTTTTTTCTGTATGGCTGTACATGACTCCTTTATTCTTGTTGGTTTGGGCCCATTTTATGAAACTTGTATGGAATAAAAATATGTTTTGTTTACAATAGGTAATATTAAAAATACTTTCTGAGTGGCATTCAGTCCTTCCAACAGATGCCAAAATGACTCTGCTTGCTTTGCATTGTTGGGGCTAAATTTCTATCTTCAGGAATTGCAAATCACTCCAAAGTAGGGGTGTTTTTTTTGCGGGAAGCATACATATTATTCCGTCAAGTTTGACTCTGTAAGCAGGTACTGCAATGAATTAGCAGCTCTTCAGGAGGTTGCATCCCATATACTAGTACTGATTTTCAGGGAGAAGCAAACCAGCTGCAGCACAAATGGAATGGAATGGGGCAAGTTGCTAATTTAAAGGGAGGCACACAAGAGCAAGTGTGGGCAACTATGGCAACTTTACAACCTGTGGACTTCAACCCCAGAATTCCTGAGCCAGAGTTGAAGTCCATAGGTTGTAAATTTGCCATAGTTGCCCACACTTGCTCTTGTATCTACTGTAATTGGGGACTGGATTGCAGGGGGTAGCGGGGGTGGGGGAGGAGCTGTGCTTTATGGTCATCATCTACCAAGGCATTATAGTATCTTTATATGCCATGCAGTACAGTTCACAATTGTCTTCCATCTGGAGAAGAAAAATCTCTGGAAGATGAGTCATGGAGAGTTTGCCGATGGGCAATGGAGTGTTTGCAGTTCCTTTTTCCAAGATCACACCTGGGATATCAGAGGCAGAGCTAAGTCCAGAAGTTACCTCCTCCCGCATACCCCAAAATACCACAAAGTCCACTTTAAAGCCAACCAAGCTAACAACCGTGTTTAAAAACCCACAAGTTTCCAAAGTGATTTTGTGACATTTATTAATGTAAGATGCAGTTGCTCAACATTTGAAAGAGTAAAATGATTAAAAGAAGTTTTCAACACAAAGGATGCACAAATTTCATGATATCTAACCTCAGCCGTCCTAGAAGGGAAATAATCCCTTTAAAAGAAGAACAGATAGAAAGAAATGCATTGATTCTGCCAGACAGTTTCCTATCACCCATGCTCAACAGACAGATACCAAATAAACAGATGGAGGAGATGATGCCACTAAGCCAGTGTTTCTCAACCTTGGCCACTTGAACATGGGTGGACTTCAACTGCCAGAATTCCCCAGCCAACATGGCTGGCTGGGGAATTCTGGGAGTTGAAGTCCACCCATATTCAAGTGGACAAGGTTAAGCAACACTGCACCAAGCAATCCCAAAATATCCAACAAGGCAAATAAATAAAAGCATCAACAAGGTGTGTCCAAATTGACCCAGAAGGGGGGAGGGAAAAAATACCCTCTACTCAGGCTGAAGCCCACCAATGGTTTCCCACCATTTCAGGACCCAGGGGTCCACCTCAATTGAGTGGCATCAAATCCATGTTGGGGACCATCTCATTCAAGGCACCCGCTAACTGCTCTGACCAGGACTGGCTAAGCAAAGCCGAAAAAGGACCACCAAGCTACACAAGGCCCATGGGACAGCTCTGCAAAGCCCGGGACAGCAATAGGTCCGGCAAGGCTTTCCCCAAAAAGGAAGGGCATCCAACATTCACGTCAACTTTGCAGGTTGGCGACTCAAAGCCATTTGGTCATTAAGAATCAAACACAACAGCTGTTTTTACAAAGCCGTGAAAGGGACTCGACCTGGAAAAGAATTTGGTACAACAAGCTGAGAAGGCGCAGCACGGAAACAGGGTGGTGGTGGGGGAACAGCAAAATACTTTTGAGTAGACCGGGGGGGAAAAAAGAGGGGGGCAACCAGAACAGCATGGCTTTAAACAGTGGGAGGTGGCTGGGAACACCAATGGGCCACATGCCCTGTTCCCCAACCCCGATGCGCGTCGATGGGTCTGGAGTGAGCGGTTCCAAGTCAGTCTCCCCTGTGGAATGGAAGTTGCATAGCAGCAGCAGCCGGCGGAGTCTTTGTACCATGACGAGTGAGCAGCTCAGAGTCCGCCAACATGGGTTGGGGTGCTGGGCTGGTTAAGGCCAATGGTGGAGCACAGCCAGCCTGCAAAGTCCACCTCTTCCGTTTCTGATCTTTTAATGAAAATGTGGACCTGGCAGAGACAAAAGACAATAGCAATAGCACTTAGACTTATATACCGCTTCACAGTGCTTTACGGCCTTCTCTAAGCGATTTACAGAGTCAGCATATTCCCCCCCAACAATCTGGGTCCTCATTTTACCAACCTCAGAAGGATGGAAGGCTGAGTCAAACTTGAGCCAGTCAGGATCGAACTCCTGGCAGTGGGCAATACTCCTGCAATACTGCATTACAACCAATCATCCACCACAGCGCCAAATTGCAAAAATGCAAGACAGTTCTACAGGTAGTCCTTAACTTACAACAGTTCATTTAGTGACCGTTAGAAGTTACAACGGAACTGAAAAGAGTGACTTATGACCGTTTTCCACACTTACAACCTTTGCAGCATCCCTGTGATCACATAATAAAAATTCGGATGCTTAGCAACTGGCGCATATTTATGACAGTTGTAGTGTCCTGCGCTCATATTTATGATGGTTGCCATATTCCGGATGATCCCCTTTTGCGACCTTCCCACAATCCAAGTCAATGGGGAAACCAGATTCACTTAACAACTGGGTTACTAATTTAAGAACTGCAGTGATTCACTTGACAACTGTGGCAAGAAAGGTCGTAAAAGGGGCAAATCTCACTTAACAACTGTCGCTTAGCAACAAATTTTGGGCTCAATTGTGGTCACAAGTCAAGGACTATCTGTAATCATGGTCAAGAAAATATTGGGGCTATTGGCTCTGCCAAGGAGATAAAGCAAGGATTCAAGAAATGCTACTTTATTGTTCAAGGATCTAATAACAGAAATTTGACTCCTCTTATATTGAACAAAACAGGGATTGGATGTTTTTCTCTTTCTCCTTCCTTCTCTCCTTCCCATCTGTGAGTTGTCTTATTTTCCCTAAATGGTTGCTGCTTAATTTAGCTAGATTATATTCTTCTTCAGCAGTGTTTCTCAACCTTAGAAATTCTTTAGATGAGTGGACTTCAACTCCTATGCTGTCTGGGGAATTCTGGGAGTTGAAGTCCTCAAATCTTAGATTTGCCAGGGTTGAGAAACACTGCGCTTAGCCAATAGTGAAAGGTTGTCACCATTCACAAGTAGCCACCCCAGGGCCCTTGCCTATCGCAGCCACCCCAAGACAGCAATTTGGAACTTCTTCCAAGAATGAGTTCTACACAATTTGTTTAACCTGGTTAGCAGTTAAGCCATTATCAGCAGTTTCACAATTAACTCGGGCCTAGATAAATGGACAGCATTTATAGAACATGCTAAGTCCACCCCAATTAAATCAGGATTAAAAGCAACCCAATTTGGAAGTCATGCATGTTGACTTTCTAAGATCTAAGTCTTTAATGAACCCATTTTAGCATGTTGATGAAACCAGTAGATTCTAAGGGTAGTGTCAGAACCCTATCTTTCTATGGGCATGGGTTCTCTGATCCTTTTTGGATTCTGCCATATCCCGGGGAGAGAGGGGGAAGCTTGGGGTGCTGATGTGTATTTCCTTTGCTTTATTTTCTGCTCTATCCTCTTTGGTGTTTCTCTAACGGGGTGAGAATGGAATGTGCCTCTGGCCATCTGCCTTATCTCCGGAAGAAACAGCGCAGACACCTAACAACCTTGGAAGCGGGTTCCCATGGCACTTTCACATCTGTGGATTGGCCTGTTTGAACCATCTGGATGGACAGTTGGGGTGGGGTTACTCTGGACACTTTTGATTACTTGATTCACGCGGGAAACCCTCAGATCCTGCCTTTTATTCCTGTTGTCAACATCTCCCAATAAAAGTTCCTTTTGAAATGATGCCGTTTTAAGAGTTCTATTTTTTTGGGAGGACTTTCTTGGGAGGCGGGTCCTTACAGGTAGGAATCTTGCAATATGCATCTTTTAAAAAACCAGGAAGAATTCACTCACCATAAGCTGTTTTAGATCTGCTCTCTCAGCCGGATTCTTGATCAAGCTGTCAAAAAGAAAAGTTATACATTGCAGCTGATGTATGAGAGCCCAACACAGAAACACACCAATCTTAAATTGGAGGTCTGTAGTTTTGGATTCATGCAAAGGCTGAATGACAAGCCTAAATACAAAGCTTAAATGCATGGTTCATCTTTCATTATGGTCACAGATCAGAATAAAAATTAAAACGTTAAAATAAAACAAAAAACAGAAGATTCCTGATTTTATACACATACACTCACACACCACACACACACACACACACACACACACACACACACACTCCTGCAGTGGACAGACAATGGCTAGAATGATTATATATATATACATACATGCATATTTGATCCCTGCTGATTTTGTACATTTGCCCACTGACAAAGAAATGATCAGCCTATAATTTTAATGGTAGGTTTATTTTAACACTGAGAGAATAACAACAAAAAAATCCAGAAAAATGCATTTCAAAAAAGTTATAAATTGATTTGCATTTTAATGAGTGAAATAAGTATTTGACCTTCACAAAACATGACTTAATACTTGGAGGCAAAACCCTTGTTGGCAATCACAGAGGTCAGATGTTTCTTATAGTTGGCCACCAGGTTTGCATACATCTCAGGAGAGATTTTGTCCCACTCCTCTTTGCAGATCCTCTCCAAGTCATTAAGGTTTCGAGACTGACGTTTGGCAGCTCAAACCTTCAGCTCCCTCCACAGATTTTCTATGGGTTTAAGGTCTGGGGACTGGCTAGGCCACTCCAGGACCTTAATGTGCTTTTTCTTCAGCCTCTCCTTTGTTGCCTTGGCCATGTGTTTTGGGTCGTTGCCATGCTGGAATACTCATCCAAAAACCATTTTCAATGCCCTGAGGGAAGGAGGTCCTCATCCAAGATTTCACGGTACATGGTCCCGTTCATCATCCTTTTGATGCGATGAAGTTGTCCTGTCTCCTTAGCAGAACCCCCCCCCAAAAGCATAATGTTTCCACATCCATGTTTGATGGTGGGGGTGGGGTGGGGGGTTCTTGAGGTCATAGGCAGCATTCCTCCTCCAAACACAGCAAGTTGATGCCAAAGAGCTCGATTTTGCTCTCATCTGACCACAACACTTTCATCCAATTCTCCTCTGAATCATTCAGATGTTCACTGGCAAATTTTAGACGGGCCTGTACATGTGCTTTCTTGAACAGGGGGACATTGCGGGCACTGCAGGATTTCAGTCCTTCGCGGCATAGTGTGTTTATCAATTGGTTTTTTTTTGGGGGGTGACTATGGTCCCAATTGCCTTGAGATCATTGACAAGATCTTCCCATGTAGTTCTGGGCTGATTCCTCACCGTTCTCATGATCATTGTAACTCCACGAGGTGAAATCTTGCACAGAGCCCCAGACCGAGGGAGATTGACAGTTATTTTGTGTTTCTTTCATTTGCAAATAATTGCACGAACTGTTGTCACCTTCTCACCAAGTTGCTTGATGATATTTCCAGCCTTGTGTAGGTCTACAATCTCGTCCCTGACATCCTTGGACATGGTGGAGAGTTTGGGATCTGATTGATTGATTACTTCTGTGGACAGGTGTCTTTTATACAGGTAACAAGCTCAGATTAGGAGCACTCCATTTAAGAGGGTGCTCCTAATCTCTGCTCATTACCTGTATAAAAGACATCTGGGAGCCAGAAATCTTGCTGAATGATAGGGGATCAACTATTTATCTCACTCATTAAAATGCAAATCAATCTATAACTTTTTTGAAATGTGTTTTTCTGGATTTTTTTATTTTTAAAAAATAAACCTACCATTCAAATTATAGACTAATCATTTCTTTGTCAGTGGGCAAACGTACAAAATCAGCAGGGGATCAAATATTTTTTTCCCTTACTGTATGTATGTATGTGTGTGTCTGTGTGTACACAGACACACATACACACATACATACATGCATAGGATATTATATCCTGTGCAATATAACAGGACATGAGCTGTGGTTGCAATGGACCCCTGCTCACAGGGATACAAACTCAGTTCAAGGCATGGTCAATAATTCCCACATTTTATTTGAATGAAATAGCATCAGTTTTAGATTCTGCCCTGGCTTTATCCACGTTGCTGGAGTGGGCATCCCAGCTCATTGCTCAAAAACTAAGTGTGGCCATCGGACAAAAAATAATAAACTGAAAATCGTACCATCATGTTAAATTGTGAGCAAGTGTAGTCCAAAAGGGCAGAAATGAGTCTAATTTTATTAGTTACCAAAGTGTCTGTTCTTTTTTTAAAAGGAAGCAAAACAAAAGCCTACATTCAACCCTAACAACAACAAAAAAGAAAAGTGTACAAAAAAAGAAGAAAAAGTGGTCAATTAAATTTAACATTTAACATGCCTTTTCAAAGAGACAACCTCCCCCCTGCATTTTCGCTGACCCCACGACCACCACCCACCCGCAAAGGAAACAGACTGGAGGCCAAACTCACCATTTGTTCACAAAGTCTTGGAATTCTGGAGTGAAGACTCTGCTTGGCAGCTTTGGAGGGGGCTGAAAGCAACCGAGGGATCAAAGATGAAGGCATTTATTCTTTGCATTTTTATCCCATCTTTATTACTCTATAAGTAACTCAAGGCAGCCAATGTACCTAACATTCCTTCTTTCTCCAATTTTCCCCATAACAACCCTGTGAGGTAGGTTGGGCTGAGTAAGAGGGACTGGCCCAAAGTCACCCAGACAACTTTCATGCCTAAAGTGGGACTAGAATTTACAATCTCCTAATTTCTAGGCCAGCACCTTAACCACTAGGTCAAACTGTCTGTCTTGTCTTTCTATCTATATTCTACACCTGCAATTGCAGGATTCACAATTATGTCCATCTTTCATGACTGTTGATATGCTGCTGCATTTTCAAAGACTCTGAGCAGTTTCCCAAACGCCACAGGGTTAAAATTAGCAGTAAAGTGAGAATTAAATTAAGTCAACTTGTAGCATTTCCTTGAGGAAAGATTCAAGAGATTTGCAAGTGCAACCAACACCAAGAGGGAAACAGTTAAATCTGCCTCTATTTAGCACAGAGGGGCCAACAAATTATCTTGGTTTAAAACTCCTTTTACATCCCAGCATCAGTTGCAATTACTGGCTCAGAAACGGGCTATGCTGATCAGGCGCTTGTCAGAAGAGTAAGACTTTCAGACAGACTGGGAAAGGCTGCTTCACTCTCAGATACACCCCTAAAATGCCTTTTTTGCATCTCTGGCCTTGCTAAGATCTTGGGTGAGACTGGCTATCACATATGAGATTTCACCTATCTACAAAGCATTTTGGGAGAGCACCCCAGTCATTCCTGAAGCTCCTCGGGGTGGGTGGGGGGTGCTGAGTGCTGCAGAACAGAAGGGAGCCCTGGAGGTCATCTATCTAGGGCAGGAATCCATCATAACCGCATGATTCAAAGATGCTTCTTATGAAAGCAAAAACTTTTCTGCTTGCAGAAGACAAAAAAGTAGAAGACAACTATTCCACTCACCTCATTGACAATGTAGTCAAGGAGCTCAAAGATGGCCATAGGTGGTCGGCTGTCGGAACCATAGGCTGAAAAATGACAACAGTCAGCAAAATTAATTTCACTCTTTGGTGTTTAGCTTATTTCTCATTCTTTTCTGATGAGACTTATTTGTCTCCAAAATTCGTTTAGTGGCATGTCTTGAAATTTGTTTAAGAAATGCTGATGAAGATAGTGTAGGTTTTGTCAACGAATGTTTGCTAAAAACAAAATATTTTTCAAACTCAACAACTTTAAGATGTGTGGACTTCAATTCCCAGAATTCCCCAGCCAGCATACATAAACCAAGTTTGGTGTAGTGATTAAGGTGCTGGCCTAGAAACCAGGAGACTCTGTCCGTCTCTCTTAGCCCAACCCACCTCACACGATTGTTGTTGTGGGCAAAATAAGAGGGGGAAGGTGTGTTGGATATGTTTACCACTTTGAACTATTTATAAAAATAATAAAGTGAGTGAGTGATTGAGTGAGTGAGTGAATGATGACTGGAGAATTCTGGGAACTGAAATCTGCACATCTTCAACCAGTCAAATCTAAAAATCCCTGGCCTACACTGTCAGCAAATCTTGGCACTGTAACCAAGCAGGGACTGCCTGAATGAAAGCAAAGTCTTTGTAGGAGCAGGTGTGGGCAGCAGGAAGAAGTGGCCCCTTCTTCTAAAAATGTTTCTGTGGATCTGCAAGCCAAGCTCCTAGCAGCCCCAGCCAATGCTCTGGCCTGGCCTGCACTGCCCATGCCCACCCATCCCAACACAACTGCCATAACACATTCACACCCAATCGGGTTCCCTTCTCAAAGAAGTGATCCGTTTTCAGCCCCCAAGGTGGCACTGCCAGTTCGTGCCCTCTTACCGCTCATGGGCCGGCCTGCTGTTCTCTGCCGGGGAGATGTCTCTGAGACAGGATAGTCTGCCCCAACGGGACAGCCAAACATCAGCTCCAGCTCCTTGGCATCGGGTGGAGGGATGGGGTACCTGCCGATGGCCATCTCGACCAGGGAGAGCCCCATGCTCCAGATGTCTGACTGCACCGAGTAGTGAGTCCCTTGCAGTCTCTCTGGCTGGAGGAACACAAAGACAGAACAAATCACACAGGTGAAGAAACACACAGGGTGCAGCAGTGAAAGCCTGTCCAGTCACAGCCTGGAAAGGGTGATGGAGGAGGAAAAAGTGACCATGGGAAAGTGGATTCCACTTCTTCAAACTTTATGTTTTTTGGCCAGGATGTGGACTTGAGAGTTTGAAAACTTACCAAACTCAACAGTGGGGCTGGAGATTCTATAAATACCAAGCAAAATGGCCCACATAACATTTTAGTTTTGATTAGTTCCTTTGTGGCACAAAACATCTGGGGACATTTGGTTGTAACACCTGCAGCCTTTAAGAAACTGCTCAGATGGATCCTTGTGAGTCAAGGCTAGTTAGTGAGACTAGGAGTCTCACTAACTAAATTGGTAACACATAACAGCCCACCCAACTATGCTTCTGTTGGATACAGTGCCAATCACATTGGTGTCAAATCTGGGCAACCACGGAGGTAGACCTTCTTCAAACTGATCTGTCCCCATCTTGGTTCTTCAGGCCATCATCACTGGAGAATAGGTTCCCTGTGACAGCCCCACAAGTAATGGAAGATGGCTATCATGTCCCCCTTAAGTCTTCTCTTTGTTAGGCTAAAGGCCACTCTTGGCTACCTCTCTAATCTTCTGCCTCAAAGGGACAGCCCTAGGCAGAAAAGACAGGGCACCCTTCTGTTGTACACTCCTGTGCAAAACACTTGTGCACTTCCCAGGCAAGAAAAGCACCACCAGAGATTGATCGCTACATTGATCAGCTTTTATCATGCCTGAATTGGACAACAGCTACTTTATGGCCTTCACTTACCGACATGTAAGATCGTGTACCGACAAAGGAATTGGCCATGGAGTCAATCAGTTGTCCGCTGACCCCAAAATCGCAGAGTTTGATTTCTCCTCTTGAGTTTACCAAGATATTGGAGGGCTTCACATCTGGAGGGAGAGGGGCAGAAAATGGAGAATACCTTCAACTATTTTACTTCTGGGGCAGTTATTCCTTTGGGCAATGCGTGACAGATGTAAAATCCACCCATGTGTTGTTTATTATAGTCACAGATCAATATTCAAATCATATAATAAAAATAATAATAATAATAATAATGATTTAATAAAAAACAAAATCAATATACAGGTAACAGAATTGGTAAGTGAATTTGGCTTCTCCATTGACTTTGCTTGACAGAAGATCATAAAAGGGGATCACATGACCCCAGGATACTGCAACCGTCCTAAATATGAGTCAATTGCCAAGCATCGGAATTTTGATCACATGACCATAGAGATGCTGCAACAGTCATAAGTGTGAAAAATGGTGATAAATCACTTTTTCGGTGCCATTGTAACGAACAGTTGTAAGTCAAGGGCTATTGGTATAGAAAGGGATAAATAAGATTCAAATGTTAGTATCACACAGAATTGACCACTTCCTTATGCTGAGTCAGCAGAGAACAGGGCGTCTTTCTCTGCTGCTCACTGTGATTGATAGCCGGCTACCAAAGTGAATTTTGCCGTGAGAAGCCTTGCCCTACAGACCTCTGAGAGCGAGCGGAGGAGATGCATGGAAGAAATTTAGTGGCACAGGAACAGCCATTGAAAGCTATTAATGTGTTAACATTAAGGGATATGAAGAAAAGTGAGCCATAAAATAAATGGAAACAGATTTGGGGTTTTTGAAAGCCAATAAGTTCCTTTCATCTTCCATCTCGGTTGGCATGATATTCTAGGGGCATTTATTGGATTAAATAGATGATCCCACCTCTACTCTATTACATAGGCCCCACTATACAACATGGAATAACAGAGTTGGAAGGGACCTCAGAGGTCTTCTAGTCCAGCCTCTTGCCTAAGCAGGAGACCCTACCCCATTTCAGACAAGTGGCTGTCCAGTCTCTTCTTAAAAGCTTCCAGTGATGGAGCACCCACAACTTCTGAAGGCAAACGCTGTTCCACTGGCTGATTGTTCCCACTGTCAGGAAGTTTCTCCTTAGTTCTAGGTCGGATCTCTTTTTGATAATCTTCCACCCATTATTTTTCTTAGCTATTTTCTTTGTTAATTATAATGTATTTATCATCGTACTGTTTTAAAACTTCTTTAACACCATTTTATCAGACTGTAAGCTGCCCATGATAGTCAGGCGGCGAATAATAAATAATAAATAAATATCTTGAAAAACTTGATTGGCTTGAAGAAAGGCCTTTGATGGGAATCTATAAGGAAGCCTCAGGGTTGGGCTTGTGTTTCCACTACAAACCAAAAACAACTCCAGCCTACTATAACTTTGCAAAGAAATTTAAAGGGTGTCCAACAACTGGTTCTAGAGATGGCTGATAGACTCACTGAGGCCAGGGCAGAAAATCATTCAGTTTCATTTCTCTTACATTTCAATTTAATTAAGATGAAGCAGTCATGGTGAAGCGGGCACAGCAGCACCTGCATTTTCTGCGTCGCATGAGGAAAGCACATCTTTCTTCCCCTGTCCTGACCACTTTCTACAGGGGGACAATCGAGAGCATCCTGTCATACAGCATCACAATCTGGTTTGGAAGCATCCCTGCTTCAGACAGGAAGGCGGTGCAGAGAGTGGTGAGAATGGCCGAAAAGATCATTGGCAGTTTCCTCCCTCCCATCCAGGACAGAGCACAGAAGCGTTGCTTGAGCAGGGTCCGTAAGATTATCTGGGACACGACACATCCTCTTCACAACCTGTTTTCCTTGTTACCTTCTGGGAGGAGGCTTTGTGGTATCCGTAGCAGAACATCCAGATTCAGCCATAGTTTCATTCCATACAGCATTAACCTTGTGAACTCTCAAGCTTCCTCCTTCCGTTATACATTCAAGATGGACAGTGTTTAATATTTATTTGCTACATATATGTAGGGGTGTGGGTCTATACATATGTTGTTCATAGTATGTTTAGATGTGTGTCATGTATGTTTCACTTTGAGAGCGGGCAACTAAATTTCATTTTTGATGTGTGCTGTTGTGCCCACAGTAAAAAAATGACAATAAAGGTTATCTTATCTTATCTTATCTTATCTTATCTTATCTTATCATATCATGCAACAGCCCTCTAGCCCAGTGTAGTTCAACCTTGGCAACTTGAAGGTGGCTGGAGAATTCTGGGAATTGAAGTCCACAAGTCTTAAAGTTGCCAAGATTGGACCTCTCCACTCTAGCATACGGAAGATGGGCCCTGCAGGAAAAAGGAAACACATTCTGAGACTTATGGCCGTTTTTCACATCCTCATGATCACGTGATCAAAATTCAGACGCTTGGCCACTGACTCGTATTTATGATGGTTGCAGTGTCCCAGGGTCATGTGACCCCCTTTTGCAACCTTTTGACCAGCAAAGTCAAGGGGGAACCCAGATTCACTTAACAACCCTGTTACAACCTTAACAAGTGCAGCGATTCACTTAACGTGGCAAGGAAGATCATAAAATGGAGCAAATTTCACTTAACAACTGTCTCGCTTAGCAATATCAATTTTGGACTCAATTGTGGTCATAAGTCAAGGATTTGCTGTATGCTAAAACCCAATTGTTGTTGGTATCCAGAAAGCAACCCCCAGCACTGTCTTGCAGGAATGTTTCAAGAGTCTCTACAAGCCAATCTTTTGGAACAAGCCAGGTTACATCTTTCACTACATCTCCTGCTCATCTGAATGGGCTTCTTCCACCAGAAGTAAATCAAGAGCAAGTGTCTTCTTTCTGCAGCATCTCGGCTCTTTGGAGAACCACAGGATTATCTGGCGGATTAGGACATGTTGGGATGCACCTCTTTCCTGCGTGCGGGAAGGCTGCTGGTAACCTGGCAACTGCTTCACCACCGAGATAGAAGCCTTGCAAGCAATTTCTTTCCCCCTCCTCCTTCCTCCTCTGGGCGTAGGACACCACTCAGCAGAGCAGAGCAAGCACTTATCCAGTCATTAGCCATGCATTAAGGCTCCTGAAGAAAGCAGGCACATCTGCAATTCCTCCCACCCAGGCAGAGAAAAGGAAATCAGGCCTCAAGCAGTTTGGAAAAAGAGCTGTTTCTACTTGAGGATGCAAAGTGCCTTAAAAACCACAAGAACAGAGGCCATTTCAATGAAACAAAACACACGAAAGCATAGGAATACATGTTACTCAACTTATGACTGTTTGCTTAGTGCCTGTTCAAAATTACGACCCCCCCCAACAGTTACTTACAACCCAATTTCAAAGTTATGACAGCCATACCCCCCTGCGAAGTCATGTGATCACAGTTTGGGCACTTGGCAACTGGCTCATTTTTATGGCTGTTTGAAGCATCTTACAGTCACAGTTGCTGGTTTTTGGCATTTACTTTCGGTTTCCAGCAAAAAATGCCCATTGGGCCTAATGGATTCCCTTAATGGCCATGCCAACACCATTGTGGGTTTGAACCAGAACTAGTGCAGAGCAGGAACATTCTTGTGCCACCCAAATGTATTGACTTGGTGACACGTCCAGGGCAGGCAAAGGCAAAGTCTCCTTAAAGCTGAACGAGGCTCCTGTCAAACCAATACTTGGCGTGCTCTGCCTTTTCTTCCACTTCCCAGGTTAGCCTCCTGCCGTGGGATCTCCAGGTGGGCTGGAGAGTCCAATTCTGCTTCGCTTTCTCACCCTTCACAAGCACCCCTAGCAGAACATTGTGAAGGTGGCTGTTGTGCACTATTTTGGACCACACCTTCCCAAGGAGGCTCTTTACCAAGAGCTCTTTACCAGGCCTATCAGGAGCCCAGAGGGCTTTTGAAGAGGGCTGCTGGACAGCCATTCCAGACTCATCTGGAGGACACATTTAGCTGTTGTAATTTCAGGAGATGCCACAAAGAAGAGGGGGTCAACCAGGAGATGGACGTGTCACCAAGTCAACCAGGAGATGGAGAATTCTAGTCCCTCCTTAGGCTGGAAAGCCAGCTGGGTGACTTTGGGCCAGCCCTTCTCTCTCAGCCTCCCTCACCTCACCTCACCCTGTTGTAATCTGGAGGAGGAAGGTGTGTTGGGTATGTTCATTGCTTTGAGTTATTTTTTAAAAATGGTAAAGACAGGATCCATCCATCCCTGGACTGTGGTGTCACCCCTTCTTACCTACCCCTAAAGAAAAGGCCATTCAGGGCAATGGAACAGCAGATGGTTGTGTTTTATTTAAGCCTAGCATCTTTTGGGACCCTCACTCGGGAATATAGAATACCTCCTCCCTCCCCCCTTTCACAAAATAAACACAATGGTGAAGAAAGTGAAGTGGCTGCTGAAGACCAGACAGCCATTTAAAAGTGCATGGAAAGAGCTTTGACATTTTTATACTCTGGGCACAAAGTGACATCCGGCTCTGGCAAGCTGCTTCTCACAGCTTCGTAAATCTCATTTTTCGCGGCTGTTTCCATCTTGTATTTCTCTGAACTCACATATTGATTTCTACCACCAGCAGGAAGAAGCTGCTGGATGTGAGAATATCGATTTGTGCAAATGGCATTATTTGCCCCTGGGTAGCCGTGACTTATTTGTGTTGGGGCAGAGCTCCCTCCCCGCTGCTCTGTAGGAAGCGTTGGAGGGGAGCCAACATAAGTGGCCAACTTCATACCTGACACACATCCTAGATAGAAAGTGGTCTGAAAATCTGTGCCTAAGATGAAGCTTTCAATCCTCTCAAAATACAGGTAGTTCTTGACTTGTTAGTAATTTTGGCCTCGGCTGGTAGCAACTTGGTGATGGGCCATGTTAATGGCCGATCTTTTCCCCGTCAGTTCAAAGAGTTGCCCAGGATCAAATGGAAGGGCTACTGCCCTTCCGCGATTGTCCGGGAGTCCTCTTCACGCTCGTCACCCCTCCAGGGCAACTTCCGACCCTTTTCAGGGTCCCCCGGCGGGAGAAAACCAGATGGCGGAGGGAGCGATCATCCACACGTCCGCCAGGACCGCAATCACAAACCGAAAGCCCGTTTGGCGGGATTTTCTATGACCACTTCCGGTGTAGTGTTGATTCATGATAATGCTCGCCCGCACATAGCTAGACGCACCCAAGAACTTTTGAAGCAGTTCCATTTTGTTTTTGATTACTTCCCCCATAGCCCAGATTTGGCGCCGAGTGACTACTACTTAGGAATTTCAAATCTTGTAAGACGTTATGACAAGTGCCTCAGTCTGAATGGCGATTATGTCGAAAAGTAATGTAGTTTTTTAATGTGTATAATAAAAGTTCTGTATCTGAGAATGTCAGTCATTGATAACCAAATGGAGGTTTATTTCCAAATTGCCCTCATACTTACAACCCATTCTCAGAGTTACGACTGCTGCACGGCTCCCAAAGTCACGTGATTGCCTTTCGGGCACATGGCAAGTGGCTCACATTTACAACTAGCTGCAGTGTCCTGAGGTAATCTGACCACGATTTGCGATGTTTATTGCCATTTTTCTGGCAAAAAAAGCCCATTAGGTATGCTAGATTCATTTAATAACCAAATGCTTCACTCAATGACCATGCAATTTCCTTAACAACCCCAGTGACTTGCTTTGCAACAATTGTATAGACAATCATACTACTGAGTCTGGTCACATGAAAACTCAAATTATGCCAATAACGTACGACTGAAATTCTGGATTCATTGTGGTCATAAGTCAAGGACTACTTTATTTCCCCAGGTTTCAAGCCAGGGAAATGCAGCAGCCTTGATGGACCAATCCCCAGGTGGTTTGCCAAGGGAGCATATGCGGGGTCAAGCCCTTTGGGGTAGAGTTTCAGTTTGTAGTCACAGCTGCAATCTTCATTTTCTTGACATTTCTATCCCCCACCTACTCCCCTGCTTGCAATTTTAGCAAAACATGTCTAGTGAAGAAAAACTGGCTGCATTGAGGACCAGCTCTAAGGAAACATAAATCACCTACCTCTGTGCATGATCTTATGCTTTTCTCGCAAATACGTTAGACCCTTTATGACCTGTGGATCAAAACAATGCGCTCATTACAACAAGCAAACAACAATGCAACTGGATAACCTTCAAAGGAACGTAACAATATTTCTTCTTAACAGAAGGGAGTGGGAAACACCCCAACCTAACAGGCATCGTGCTCCAGTTTACTGTTCCTCAGAATTTTTTTTGTGCTTCAAAAATAATTTCAGATATGGGTCTCTTTAAAGCAGCCACCTTTTTCCTGCAGTTTACCTCCACAAACCTGGAAGCGGCTTATTGCAACTGAATCTAATGCACTGCATAGCTATGGATTCTAATGTTGGATTATGGACTCTGGAATCCCAGGACAAACTATCAAAATTAACTTTTTCTTGGTAGAATTTTCCAGTTTGACACAGGCACCACCCAGGTATCTGTTATCATTTTCTCTAAGCCCACCATTTTTATGAAAAAAAGAAAAATTGTTTGCAGTTCAAGCAATTTCCATGAGGCAGGTCAATGTTTCTCAATCTTGTCAACTTTAAGATGCACGGATTTCCACTCCCAGAATTCTGAGAGTTGAAGTTCACATATTTTAAGGCCGACAAGGTTGAGGAACATTGAGGCAGGTTGTCTACATTAAACATTTAGGAAAATTGGGAAGCTATTTTTTTGTTTCAGCTGATGATGACAGATGGAAAGCAGAGAAAGAAGCACACAGACAGAGAATGTCTTTTCCACTTATTTTTTCTGTTTTTCTCTCTATGTGACCCCAATCCATATTGTGTGCCAGGGAATGGAGAGCAGTTGTTAAACACCATCGGGTTCAGCTTCTGGCAATAGCACCCACAAATGTTCACCCATCCAGATCGGTCTTTTGTCATAATTCAGAGCTCTTCCAAAGACATGTGAATCCCTTCTTTGTGAGAGATGCAGGGCCCAGCAAATGTGTTCCCAGCCTTACTTGAGACCTTCATTTCTAAAGGAAAAGAAAGAAGAAAGAAAGAAAGAAAGAAAGAAAGAAAGAAAGAAAGAAAGAAAGAAAAGAGGGAGGAAGGAAGGAAGGAAGGGGGGAGGGGGGGAGGAGGAGGAGGGAATAAGAGAGAAGGAGGAAAGAAGAAGAAAGAGAGGAGGAAGAAAAAGAAGGAAGAAAGAAGAAGAGATAAGGAAGAAGAAGGTAGGAGGAAGGAGGAAGAAGAAGGAAGAGGGAAGGAAGAAGAGAGGAGGAGGGAGGAAGAAAGGGGGAAGAAGGGAGGAGAAGAAAGGAAGAAGAAAGAGGGAGGAAGAGGGGGAGGAGAAAGAATAAGGTGGAGAAGGAAGGAAGGAAGAAGGGAGGAGGAAGAGGAAGGGAGAAGACAGGAGGTGGAAGGAAGAGGGACAGCACTCTCTCCCTTTACCTTTACCCAGCGACACCAACCATGTTGGGATCTGACTTTTTGCACCCCCAAACAACATACTTACAGCAATGCTGACTTTGCCAAGAATCTGTTCCGGAATTCTGCCAGCCTTCTTCAACACTTGATCCAAGGATCCACCATCCTATTATGAAATGTTCAAACACAGAGAGCCTTTAATCGAGTTTATCCTCAAAGAGTTGAGGATATGACAAAAGTAAGCAGGAAAATGCAAACTTGGCATCTGGTTGATAAAACTCAACTAAAAAAAAAGATAAATATTAGCATGAAATAATGCCACGTGGCTGGAAAAATAAAGCTGAACCAAGTTTCTACAACCCAACTTTTCCCAAACTGTCAAACCTACAAAACTACTTTGGTTTCAGCCACCTTTCTTCGTTTTTTGGTTTGCCACAGCTAAGGGGGGAGGGAAGACGCATTCTTCTAGTTCAGTCATAACAATAAACTTTCTTGTGGGAACCAAGTTCAAATTGCTCAAGTGTTTGGCGGGCTAGAACTACCGTTAGAGAGCCTGCCAAAGGTTTTAATTGAAGAATGTGATTTATTACATTATTTAGTAGGTGGGAAGTTTAACTTTTATTTTGTAATCTTTTAGGGGGTGGACTTCCAGTCTTGGTTTCACCTATGTTCATGTTGATATTATGTAGCCATTAAAATTGCTCTTTGAGGAAAGCAATCGCCTCATTTCTACTGGTCTCATCTATCCGGACCATGACAGCGTCCTCTCCTTTGGTAATGTCAAGACTCTAGTCTTCAAGTTCTCTAACTAAAACTCAGGATACAAAGACATTCCCACACTGTGTAGATAATTTGAAGAGCAAGCCAAAAGCTGCTAATAGGTTCTAATCTTATCCCACTGATATCAGGTTTCTCCAAAAGAAGCAATACGGTGCAATAAGAAATCTGGCTTCAAATCCCCAGATCAACTGTAACATTCAGCAAAATTTATGTGGGTTTCTCTGGCCTTCTCATAATGCGTTCATCAACTGTGGCAATCCTGGCTGAGAATTATACATCCCAACATCCAGAAGCACACCTAGTGGGGGACCGCTGGAATTGTCTAACTCATCTCACAAGATGTGTCTGATGTTTCTTCTCCAAGTGTGAGCATTTCTGAATATTTAATTTCCCAGAGTTGACACTGATGAGAGATTGGTGTTGAGGTGAATTCTACTGGCAATTTCTGAGGGCAAGACAAGCAGTGTGACAGAATACTGGTGTCAACGCTGTGACACTGAATGTCGATGTTCTGACAAGTGAAAGTCAACAGCCATTTCCTCCTTTACTTTTAACATGCCTTTTTCTGCTGTTTAGAGTTAGATGTAGAAAGGGAGGATGGGGCGAATGCTTGAGGGTTTAGTTCAGTGGTGGCGAACCTATGGCACGAGTGCCAGAAGCGGCATTCAGAGCCCTCTCTGTGGGCACACGCGCCGTCGCCCCAGTCCTAGGCCTTCAGCTGGGTTTTATAAAACCTTTTCGCTTTAGGCCTCTGCCACCATGTGCAAAAAAAAAAAAAAGGTTCAGTCAATTTCAACTTCTCGCGGGAAAAAAAAAGATCTTGCAAAGTTGGAATTGATTGAACTTTTTAGTCCCACCCAGTCTGCCGTTACCACCGCAGCCACACACCCCCAATGGGCCACACACCCCCAATGGGCCACACCCACCTGGCACCCGACGATGCATAAGTGGGTTTTGGGTTGCAGTTTGGGCACTCAGTCTCTAAAAGGTTCGCCATCACTGGTTTAGTTAGTCATAGCAGTGCCACCATACAAGCTGAGCAACTGGAAAGAGTTAAGAGAACAGCCAAAAAGGTGGTGAAGAACTTGGAGACTAGATCACATGAGGGAACTGGGTATGTGTGGCCAGAATAAGGTTAAGAGGAGATATGCTATCACTCTTCCAATACGAGGGCTCCTTGGTGCTCTCTGAGCTTGGCGGTTTTCTTGCAGACATTTCATTACTAGGTAACCTAGTAACCCTGCTAGCAGGGTTTGCAGAGTGGAGGAAGTGATGGAGAAGGAGGAAGAGGGAAGAGGAGGAGGACTGTGGGGTCCTTGGTGCTCTCTAGGTTTGGCTGTTTCTGGCAGACATTTCATTACCCAACTTGGTAACATCATCAGTGCTAGTTCACTCTTCCAATACTTAAAAGGTTTTCAAGGGAACAGTTGTAGATGTGTTATCTTTCTCATCTCCTCACACAAACTACACCCCATCTGGACCATCACTCCCTCTCTTCATCTCTTGATGGTTCTTTCCCAAAAGTCTCAATTTTCTGTGAATTCAAAACTAAATTTCCACCCCATAAGGAATATTAGCAGCCCAATGGGGGAGATCAATTAAAGCTGTGTTTGGGCATGAAAGTACCTCCACAGCAAACCTGGCTCCAAAAACAAACAAACAAAAAAAAACAGAAACCAAAAGCTATTTTTTGTTGATTTTTTTTTGCAGAGCCCCAAAGCAATTTCTTCCCCATACATGGAATTGTTCAGTCTCTCTTCAAGAGTGAGGCGAGGAGGGGCACAACTGACCTCCAAGCAGAGAAACAGAGCGTGGGGGCTCCATCTGGCCGCACCAAAGCTGACAGATGTCCAAAATAAAGTGAGATTTTTGTTTCTATGACGCAAACATTTTTAAAAAATAAACAGGAAGGTGGGAGTAGATGGGAATAAGAAATATTGCCTACAATAAAATAGGGTCAGACTAAATCAGCTCCCCAATTCTTTAGTGCAGTGTTTTTCAACCTTAGCAACTTTAAAATATGTGGATGTCAACTCTCAAAATTCCCCAGCCAGCATCCAATACAACTGATGAAGCTTCCAGGATAGGAACGGAAACATCTTATTTTCCTCAAAAAATCAGTCCAGTTGCCTTTTTGGAAATAAAAACCACTTTTGATGTAATAACAGTAATAATAATTTATTAAATTTGTATGCTGTCTGGTTCCTTGCAATTTTGGATGGTTTACAAATTGTTAAAAACTTTTAAAAACAAAGAGACAACACAGCAAATATAAAAACAAAAGAAATAAAATGGCGAAGAGAGGAAACCCAGGCAGGAATAAAAAAAAAAGTTCAAAAGTGTTTCTAATTACTATTAAGGTAGGAATTCTTTAAATCAGGGGTGTCAAACTGCTGGCCTGCGGGACGGACGCGTCATCCAGAAGCCACGCCCACCCCATTGCTGGCAATGGCAAAACCGTCCCGATACGTTGCGCGACATCACATGACGTCGCGAGTTTGACATGTCTGCTTTAAATCTTACGGCAACCTCAGTCCAGAGGGAAGATGCTGCTACAGAGAGGGTGCATTTTGAGGTCCGGATAGATGGCCTTGTTTGAGCCCTGACTCAGTGCAGGACATCAGATGCAAGCAAGCCCAGCCAACACCTGCTTATTTTTGTTAATATGCCATTGTGAGCAAAAGCAGAATTTCTGGCTGGCAAGGCCCCCAACAGACGGTCTCCAGTGACTTGAAAAGAGCAACTGAGCCAGCAAAGCCTAAAACTGCATTCAGAATCATGTGTTAGTCAAACAAAATGAACTTTAATCCTAATTCTCAAGGTCAGAAACCTTTTTTTAGATTTTCTTTTTTAGTTTAGTCTTGACCTGCCTTTTGTTGGCTTTCCCAACACATTGAGATGAACACTCTAAAAATTAGAGCTGTACAATTTCCTTGGTCAATTAGGCTAGGATGATTCTGTCTGGAGGACATTATAACTTTGAATCTCTGATCACAATTATGATATTATTTTTGTGTTTAATTGATATCCATAGTTGCTTTTTTTGTTTGGGCAATGTATAATCATGCAATGAACAAAAATGCTGCAGAGTTGCATTGCTGAAGCTGGCAGACATATGAAGGTTTTAAAAGGAAGGAAGGAAGGAAGGAAGGAAGGAAGGAAGGAAGGAAGGAAGGAAGGAAAATAGAAGGAGGAAGGGGGAGAAAAAAGGAAAGAAAATAGAAGGATGGATGAATGGAGGGAAGGGAAATAGAAATATAGATGGAGGGAGGGAGGAAGGAAAACAGATGGAGGGAGGGAGGAAGGGTGGAAAATAGAAGGATGGATGAATGGAGGGACGAAAATAGAAGGATGGATGGAGGACGGAAGGAGGGAAGGAAAATAGAAGGATGGAGGGATGGAGAGAAGGAAGGAAGGAAGGAAGGAAGGAAGGGAAATGGAGGAAGGGAGGGAAAATAGGAACTTCTGACTCTCTAACCTCCCCTAGCCCTTAATGGCTCCAGCACCACCGGGCCCCACACAGACCCCCAAGCAGAAAGGATAGATTACCATGTGCTCCATGCAGATGCTGATCTCGCCGTCACTGTAAAAAGCTCCATAAAACCCCACGATGTAAGGGGAGTTGCATTCGTGCAGGACCTGGAGCTCCCGAATGATCTGGTTGCGAATTGCCGGCTTGATCTCGAGATGAATCAACTGCCAAAGAATCAGTCACTGTGTGGGTTGCTCCTCGGTTCTTCCCATCACTTCCACGCCCAGCCCACCGTGCTGCCCATAGAGGGCCCAAGGGAGCCGGAGCAGAGGACAAGCCCTCTGACCGGAACACCCTTCCGATCTCTACTCAGCTGTACCCACAAAGCCTGGATGTGCCTGTGCCAGCTTTCATTTACCGAGGAAGAAAGCCTTTCATCCTTCCTGGCCTGCCTAAGCGAGGCAGGCAAAATTCTAAGGCTGAATACTGGCAGTCCTTGACTTACGATCGTAATTGGGACCGGAATTTCAGTCACTAAAAAAACCGCAATCATTATGCAAGTCATCATCTGACCAGACCCAATTTTACGACACGGTCATCAAGCGAGTCATGTGGCTGTTAAATGAATCGCATGGTCATTAAGCAAATCCAGCTTTCCCAGTTGAGTCTGTCAGAAGTCATCTGGGAAGGTTCCCAAATCACATTCATACGACCAAAGACACTGCAACTCTCGTAACTGTAGATCTGGGTTGCGAGTACTTGAATTTGCAATCAGGTGACCATGGGGTGGTGCCACAGTCATTAATTCCAAGGACAGGTTGTAAGTCACTTTGAAGGCTGGTATAACTTTGAGCCAGTGTTAAATGAAGAGTTGTAAGTCAAGGACTACCTGTATCCCATTTGAATCTCTAGCTATCTGAGCTCATGGAAGAACAGGAAAAAGTAAGATTTTGATACAGCAGCAACAAGCTAGCAGGTGACACAATTGCTAATTATGCCATTAAGAGTTTCTTATGCTTGGGACATGAGCTTTATGAAAGTGACCGGGTACATGACTTTCCACGGCTGAGAGCAGACTCCAGCCCAGCAGTTTTGATGCCTGTGCAGCTTCACCTTTTGATTAAGCATTTTTAAAAGAAAATAGGTGAGCAGAGAAGCTGGCTGGTATCTGGAGGTATATCGGTGTTCAGAACATCACATTGTCCACCTCCGATAAATGGCTTCTGCAAATGGCAGCTGATTGAATAAACCATGGCTTAGTGAGACATGTGAACTTAACCAATAACAAAACTCACCTTCCTGGCCATAATGAGTCCAGAAGGCTTGTGTGAGACTTTGAAGACCACGCCACCGTTGCCCGCGCCCAGTTCGCTGATCTTTTCGAAGTCGTCATCCTTCAGTTCCCCCACTTTTTGCTTCTGGGTTAAAAAGGCCTCCAGCCGTTTCCGCTGCTGCTCATCCAGTTCCAACTCCTCCAATTTTTTCTGCAGGGCTTCCAAATTGGTCCTGTGGGCCCAGGTGAGAGAAGGGAGAAACTCCTATTAATGATAGAGGAGCCAAGACCCCAGGCAAGCTCTTCTCCCTCAAGATACAGGAAACTGGCACATAAGAAAAAAAAGAAGAGTTTTGATGTGTATTAGAGCAAAGCTGCCTTGTTGTTTCTGCTGTCACCCACTACCCTTACTAATTTTTATGGTGTTTGTGTCTTGCCTTTTGTCTGAAGGCTCCCCTGTAAGAGAAGGATTGGCAGAACCTGGGGGTGGAGTCAAAAGAGGAATCAGCCTAGAATCCCAACGTAGCCACAAGTGAGCTAAGTCCAATTACTCTTGAATTCTATGGACCTTTATCCATATCCAAGCAGGTGCTACCCATGAGTTGAGAAGATTCTTGTGCATAGACTGTTGAGCAATAAATCAGTTTAACTGGAGCTTCACAGTTAGGTAGACCTGATCTTTTTCTCTTGAAATCCCCCTACAAAGAGATCTCTCCTAGTTTTATCGTCCAACCATCCTGTGAGTAAATTGGGCAAGACAGCAGTGCCCCTATGCACTCCAGGGAGCTCTACAGCCTACTAAAGAAGAGGTGGAAGGTGCACATTCTTCAGATGCCATAACACATCTCCTGAGATTTTGTTGGGAAGGGAAGGACCAATTCGACTTTCTATTAAATGGATGTTTAATGACAGACAACCATTTTGTGAGAGTGCGCCACTTCTGTTCTCAATGTTCCAGATATGTCCCTATCCACATATGTGTATCTTTCCTGTGTCTGTTCTTCCCTGCTGCACAGATGGAACACTTTAATGGGACACCCATCCAGCAGAAATATCAACCACATAAGCATAGTTAATTAACTTTCAAAGTGAAGACAGCATTTTCCATCCTCTGGCATTTATTGATTCAACACAGCTGTCTTGTTCCCAGTGAGCAATCATTTCCCCTATAGAAAATATTCTCAGATTCCATTTGCAGCAGACAGATAGTACTTTCCATCCTGTGGAAATGTTTTAGGCACTCAACGGAACCAATTTGCAAGCTGTTACACAACCACTGACACTTTGCATGGATGCTACCCACTTCTTCATCATTTCTCTTCTTTCAACAACAAAAATACAATAAACAAGTACAAAAGAAGAGGACATGAGATGCTGCCCCTCTTGTTCTAAAGATCCATCATCTCTTAGACCACTTTTTTTCAGAGTAGGAGGACTTCATTCCCCAGAATTCTATGCAGAGGAACATCTTAAAGTTGCTAAGGCTAACAAACACTGTCTTAGGCTTCTTTCAGGTTGATGCAAATGGTTTCTGAATGTGAACTGACTCTGTTTTTAAGCTGAGAGATATAAAAGCCATTCTGTTCTTTAAAAACTTCCCTTGCAGCAGATCCTGCCAGCGATGAAAGGAGTTGCTAATCTATTTTGTATAATGAATTCAGGTAAACCAACTACCACTTTTAAACCTTGCTAATCAAAAGACAGAAAAATGAGTTGACACCAATCTTAGCCTAACTCTTTCTACCTTGAATTTTGCAGAGAGATGTTATAAGATTAGGCTTGGCCAATTCTCAGCATTAAGCAAGGCTCCTGGAGATGGCAAATTGCTTATGAGACATCCAGCAGGAAAATGGTTTGCAACTCAAAGTCGCGCATCATCAGCAACAGATTTGTGAACAGATAATTTTTAAAACAGCAAGCAATCACTTTTCATGCTCACAATGATATGGGTTTTGGTTAGAACACAGCTATGGAACATTGCAATTGTCACAAAATTTAAATTCTCCTTTGGAAAAAAAGAAAAAAAGTAGAGCCACTGTGTAGTATCTCAAGCGTCAGCTGAAAATAAAAGCTGTTAAAAATAAAAACAAAAACAAAACAGTTTTGACTATCCCTTGTCTTTAGGTTGACAATCCCAAACCAAAATGTGAATAAGCTATCATTAGAAGCAACAGAGATCTTGCATTAGTATGCCACAGTAAATTTTCAACTGTCACTGCAACTGGATTATGTACTCCCTGCTCTGGTGAAGATTCTTTTCCCTTAACAGAGGAGCTGAACGCAGCTCGTGTTTCAAAAGGACATCTGCTGGCAATTTGCCCCCTTTCCAGCCAACTGTTTGTGCTGAACACCCCAAAACCTGGAAATTTATCCAGTGAAAGAAACCCAATTAATGGAAGTCCAGGTTTACTCATATGCTGGACTTCACAATCTGAGATACACAAAATTACATATAATAGCAAAGTCTACACATACATCAAGCATAGAACATAGTCCAACCCCCTGTTCAAGGCAGGAGATCTTATACCATCCCAATCAAATGGTTGTCCAGTCTATTTTTGGAAACCTCCAGTGATGGAGCACCCACAACCCCAGTAGGCAAGCTGTTTCACCGATTAATTCTTCAGTCAGAAAATTTCTCCTTACTTCTAGATTGCTTCTCTCTTTGATGAACTTCCACCTATCGCTTCTTGTCCTGCCCTCAGGGGCTTTGGAGAATAGATCGACTCCCTCTTCTCTGTGACAGCCCTTCAAGAACTGGAAAGTGGTTATCATATCCCTCTTAATCTTTCTCTTTGATAGGCTAGACATACCTAGCTCTCTCAACCATCTGTCATACAATTTAGCCTCCAGATCCCTTATCACAGTGATGGCAAACCTTTTAGAGACTGTGCCCAAACTGCAACCCAAAACCCACTTATGCATCGTTGAGTGCCGGGTGGGTGTGGCCCATTGGCTGGGCGTGGCCAATTGGGTGGGCATGGTTGCGGTGGTAACGGCAGACTGGGTGGGACTAAAAAGTTAAATCAATCAATTCCAACTTTGCAAGATCTTTTTTTTTTCCCCCCGGGAGAAGTTGAAATTGACTGATTGAACCTTTTTTTTTTTTTGCACACAGTGGTGGAGGCCTAAAGCGAAAAGGTTTTATAAAACCCAGCTGAAGGCCTAGGACTGGGGTGACGGCACGCGTGCCCACAAAGAGGGCTCTGGGTGCCGCCTCTGGCACCTGTGACATAGGTCCGCCACCACTGTCTTATCATCTTAGTTGCTCTTCTCTGCACTGTCTAGGACAGGCATGTCCAAAGTCCGGCCCACGGGCCATTTGCGGCCCGCGGCCTGGTTTAATCCGGCCCTCGAACAGCCCTCCCTGCTCTATATAAATGCGGCCCTCCGGCAAGTCCCATGAGAGAGAGAGAGAGAGAGAGAGAGGCACTTGCACTTCTGTCTCTCTCTCTCTCATGGGACTTGCCCCCTCGCAGGGCTCCTCATTGGCCCTGCGCCCTGTTACCCTGCCCCCAGCCACAAGCCACCATCCGCCCTGTGGTTATAAGTGTCCCGGCAGTTGGGACCCGCCCCTCCCGGAAGTCAATCAATCCTTGGCGGTTCTCCATCCGGCCGCTTGTGTGCTGCGTCACCCAGCCTCCTTCCCTGAAGGCTCGTTGGACCAGAGAGTTCCAGGTTGGTGTCAGCCCTTGCTTGGCTTTCTGAGCTCTCCCGCGGCGTCTGCTGGTGTTGCGTGGCCCGTTCGGCTTTCCCCCTGGCGTCCGCGGCGTTCTCCGCCTCGATGCGGCTTTCCCCAGCCGGCTCCAGCAGTTCCAGCTCATTGCCAGCACGTGGCTGTTTCTCCCTGGCAGCCTCGGCCCCCCCAGCCCTGTCGGTGAGCACCCGGCAGGGCGCAGCGTCGCCAGGCCTCCCCCCCTTGCGCGAGGCTTCTGGCGTTCCCCCTCGTGCCTGGCTACGGCGGCTCGGGGTTTCCCGTCCCGGGCACGCCAGGCAGCGCTGCAGGGAACGGAAGGGGGGGGGAGGGCCATATCTGGAGCTCCGCAGGCCGGGGCGACGCCAGGAACGAGCTGGGCGGCTGCGGCGACGGCGGCGGGAACAAGCTGCTCGGCTGCGGCGGCAACGGCAACGGGCTGGGTGGCTGCAGCGGCGGCGGCGGTGGCGGCAGCAGTCTGGCGGTCCCCCAACCCTCACCCGTGAGTGGCAAGCCCTGTGGGGCTTGACAAAGAGAAGAGAAAGAGAGGAAAGAGGGAAAGAGAAAAAGTGGAAAGAGAAA